ATAGTCGAATTGAGAAGGCTAGAGGAAACGTCAAGAATGGGGTCATATACGAATATTCGGTCTACAGAGAAAAGATGGAACGGTCGCACCCTAGAACATGGTATGACATCTACGTCAGAGGTTACTACCCAATTATGCGGATCTATGAATGTCAGCCATGAAGCACCGCTAGGTAAAGTTAGACGGATTCTAGGCTTACTATAGCAGGTATCGTTAAACGGTACAAGTTGATAATGAGCGCGTGGTATGCGCATGCAATGATGTAACTGGACTAGTCCCCCACCAAGATGGGTAGCCGCAATATCATTTCGCTTAAGCAATGAACGTATTGTATACGTAGCATCAGACTTAAGGGAAGAATGTAATGCAAATGCTAACATGTTGGTACGATCACAGAGAGAGGCCAAGGCATGGCGGAAGAGGGACGTCATAGAATCCTGGATAGAATCTTCCGCAGCTAGCAGTTGTGCTGCTAACTGATTCGAAGTAACGATACCTACGGAGGGAGATGAGGAGCGCGCTACCCGTTTGACTTTTGCAACCGCATACCCCTGATCCGTAATAATTAATGTACGCGCACAATCTTGAATGGTAGGGTTATTATCGCGCCAAGACAAGGCGAACTCTTTTGAGTCGCTGATCCAAATGTGACCTAAAAGATGCCCCCGCATTTTGGAAATTGGTAGGTAAGCACAAAGCTGTTCGCTTGCGGGCTCCCATAAAAGTACCGAACCCTCCTGAAGGGTGCAAAACCCATCCTTATACGCGCAGTGCTGCATATTACCTACCGCGGAGTCTGGTGAAAGTGCCCCATGACGCGCATGAACTGCTGTGTTAACCAAGTAACAATTTACTACGGAGAGATGATGGTCTACACAACATCCAAACGGGGCTGACGGGTACTCGAATGAAAGAATATTATCGGTCTTATAGGTTCCGTCTACTTCTACCATCGACCCATATTCACATTTGTGATGTTGTTGCATTTGCCTACAGTGTTCGATTGAAACGGTCTTATAGTTTTCGGAATGGGTTTGACGTCGCGCACCGAAAAAGTTGACGGAATAAACTACCGTATGCTCGACAATTTTACACAACACCGCTGGAGTATCATAGCGCTTAGAATTAGGACGGTAAACATAAAGAGAGGTGCTAACCGGAACACTAGTTAAGTTAGGCACCAAATATGAGCAATTATAGGTCAAAGGAATGCGATTAACAGCATCTGATTTTTCACGTGGACACAACCAGACAGGTTGATGAGCATCATTGATGAAGAAACATGACAGAAGCACCGAGGCTAAGAACAGACAGTTAACGCGCGGAGGAGAAGAAGAACGCCGGAAAGAGTGATTCCCAAAAGCTGAGGAAGCTAATTCTTCGTTACGCTGAAGTAACGCGGAAATGCGGGCATTCGACTTATCTAACGCTGCTTGATTTTCCTTTAATGAAAGCGAGAGCGATTCAATTTGCTTACGCGCTTGATCTAACTCGTTAGAATGATCAAGGGAAAGGCCCAAAACTCTAGGAGTTCGAGAATAAGACGACGATTGAGGAGAAGGAGAACGATAACGTACTCGAATACCATCACGAGAACTGCTACGAGAGGACTGACCTACCTGCTGGCGCTGTCGTCTCCTTGTCGCACATTCGGAAGCCAAATGTCCTCGTCCACCACAGAAATAGCAGTAAATATCAGAGAATACCATGCGTGGGAGTCGTCGTGGTCTTGGTTCTTGAAAGCGTACTCGGTTTGGGCCGGGCCTGAAAGTTCGTCTATTAGCAAAGTTAGTGTGACTAGAAGGCACAGTATCGGGCGGAAACAAGGAGGATTTTACCTGGTTGTCTTTGGACTTACCTGAAGAAGCGATGGGTTCCACTGAACTTACGGCCACTGGCACCTGAGGGTGCGATGGATGGATGAGTCGGTCTGCCGAGGCTTCGGAAAGAAGTTCCTCAACGCGTTCGGCCTCCGCCAAAGCCTCCTCGAAAGATGCTGGTTTCGCGAAGCGAACGTGAAACCTTAAGTCGGCGTGCAAACGTTGTATGAATTCTTGCAAAAATAAGTCACCATTAAGGGTTGGGTCCTGGCCAGTCGCGGTACGCAATAAATTTAATAAGCGGAAGGCAAAGGCTGAACTAGACTCACCTCTTTCCTGACGGCATGTGGTTAAGGCTTGCCTTGCTTCGGCTTTCTGCTTCGGGCCCTCGTAGTGTGTCCTGAGATGATCAACTAAAGCTTCATAATTTACCTTGTCTTCTGCCGATAGGGTCTCGACTCTTTCCCTTGCCACAGATTCCAAATGGGCTACCAGATAATTGGCTTTGTCCTCAGAAGTTAGGATCTTGCGGAGCCGCATCGAATCCTCCAGACGGCGCAGCCAGAGCGAAAAGGGTTGCGAACTAGAGGTGCCGGTAAACGGCGTGACACGGGAGGGGAGCCCATCAGGGCAACAGGTAGCTACCAAAGGAATCTGTTCGATACGTGGACCAATTGCGGCAAATGAGCCATTAAGTCCATCAAGCAGGTTAGAGTTACCTTGATTAACCTGTTCAGCTAGTTGTGCCGTCGCTTTCTTCGCGTCCTTCCATACGTTGATGAGGGCCTCAGTTGTAGCTTCTTTGAGCTCCTTTGCGTCTCGTCCGTGGACCGTCGAGGCATCGTCCAGATTGACCAACACCTTCGCTAAGGGTGCCGTCACTGTCTCAGTGCTCACTGGTAGAGTGGCATCAGCCACTGTGGATTGCTCCACAACCGCTTTGGAACGCGTTACCGGTACCGGTACCATAACTGAAAAAGAACGAGTCACCCAGGTTCAATGGTAGAGGCACCACCATACTAGAGCTTCCTAATAGTAAGATCAATGAGAGGATAGACAATAGCATCACAGTATCACATGAAAGGAAGAGGAAGCAACGAAGTGAACGATGAGTGACGAGTGAGGCACGCTGTCGGTCTCAGGAGTGGGCGTGGCTAGTACGGTACCCTTAAGTAGAATATTCAAAACTGTTTGGTATTTTCTCAGACCCTTATCTATGTTTGCCATCTCAAGGAATGAAAGAAACGAACACGGAAAATGTCATGAACTTTATATTTACTTCGTTTCTTTGCCATATCTGCTCTCGCGATCTCGGTATAATGGGAAACAAGCAAAAAGTTCAAGCTTTTCCGCTTTGTGGCATTTTCTCAGCTTCGCTATCTATGCTTTCGATCTCGTCATGAGAAAGTACACGGCCGTGACCTTTTCCTTCGGAAACATCCTTGCTTACAGTCGTACTGTATCTGATCTACAAAAGAAATTGAACCCATGAGAAGAAACCCAAATTCAGTGATAAATCTCTTATTTGAAAGTTCAGAGTTCTCATGGCGTAATTAGTAAAATAAGCTGGGAAATGAACGAGAAGCTTGAGTTTCAAAGGAAGGCCCGAATACATGGTACGCGTAACTTCAACTGACGAGGTCGAACGTAAAAGGAATGAAACGTTTGAATAGAGTTGCGCACAAAGGAGATTGCGAAGTTTGAGCATGAGAAATTTCAGAAGCGAAATTGCGCCACTGCGTTCGTTTTCAATTTCAAAAGCGTTTCCCGAGACAAAGGAAGCGCTCGGAACTGAGTCTTCAGCTCACAACTCAAAATTTCATGGTATCACTAGCTGTGTGCGAAACACGCATCAAAGAAAATGAACTTGGTAAACTGGTACACTTAGAGAGGAATAGGGACACCATAACACAGAGTAAAATCTAATATCAGAGAAATATAGAGGAAGCAACCGCACTCGGGAAGTTCTGGTATTCAGACTAATGGCATTATGAGCCTGCCATCTGGCCTGTCTGCTGCGTCAGAAACGATACTCCAAGTTAGGTCGCCAGATGTGCCCTACAAGGTAAAAGAAACTGCGATCGATCGCTAAACATCAACTACACTCAGACTTAGCTGAGAAATCGTCATTAGCCCTACACTGGAGCAATCTGATAATCAGCATAAAACTGCTGAAAGTACCGTGCGGACAAACAACTACTATTACCACCCAGCTCAACTCACCTGCGCGCAACTACTAATTAGGGGGCGAACGCCTGAGCCAACAACACCATACAACTGTAAAACATAGGTCCGCACCTCAACTCAACTCAACCGGCCGGGAGGACATCTCATAACACTCACAAAATTCAATTCAAAACGCTGGGTTCAACATTTTCTTGGCGTTCTATCTTCCACTGGACGTCCACCATCAGGTGTGCACACTAACTGCCAGCATAAAACTGCTGGGAACCGCGGAAATCACGTCTGAGAAAAGAAAATCGTGACTTGATATTTTAATTTCGAAAAGTCCAACACACATATTTCCGAAACCTGGCGCCTAGGTTACGGAAGAGGTTGGAAGCCCTTGAAAAATTGTCAGAAACGGTCACGATAAACTTCCCTCAGACGACGAGCTGCCAAGTCACCGGTGGAGGCCCATCAGGGCTTTATTCATGATTTTACCACTCACCTGTTCTCCTCTCGGCGGAACCACTCGCTGCTACCAGTAAGCGTAGCGCCGCGGAAACGTGCTGACATACCGGTAGAAACACTGATCCGAACTTATATGATTTATCTGTTATAGCGATAACGATATATGAGTATCATTAATGAGCAAGATCAATGGTAAATGAGCAATATCGGGATATGAACAATAGGCACAAAGAATAAGGAGATCATATAGTAGAGATCAGCATGAGCACTGGTGGTACGGCGGCGGCCCAAAGAGGTTACGAGGAGAGGTGATGCAAACGTCCACTCGGCGACCGGGCATCGGAGCAACTCCTCGAGAGCATCGCTTGACCATCGTCGTCACGCCCCTAAACATATGAGTCATCATCCAACGAAGAAGCATGCGTAGACATGCTTACACTCTTCACTTTTTCGTGTTAGGAGAGATTAGATAATTAGAGAAATTTGGCGCTTTTGAGCGAAGTCTGGTCGGAGCCTAAGGCAATGACTTACTATTTATTTTTGCAGACAGCTTTCATAGGAGGAAATGTGAACGTCGAAATCACAGATGACCAAAGAATCATTGAGAAGGAGTATCCGCTTATGGCTGCTGTGAATCGCTGTGCCAACACAGTGAAAAATCACGAAGTAGGATCAGCATCTTTTTATCAGTTAATTTCGTAGATGATAAAAGAGTTTCTGTATCTTAGGCTCGTCTCATTCGTCTGGAATACGTCGGAAAGGGCACCATCGAAAACACTTATATGATGGTTGGCAAGGGTGTAACGATTGATACTGGTAAGCTGATGTCTCAAATTTACCTTTCGTTGTTAACGATGGGAAGCCTTTAGGTGGCGCCGATTTGAAAACGGGTGGACATATGTGGGGAATGTGTCGTGACAAATATGGCAGCGCTATAGTCGCTGGTTTCTTCAAAATCTTGGATATTCTGAGACCAAGGAACCTCAAAGTGAGCTTTTTTCCTTTCGTCTTTTTTGATTTTGCACTCCTTTTACATAAGAAACTGAAGGAGGCTATTTTCGTCCATTATTGCTTTCTCTGAACTATCCATATATTTTTGCAGGCCGTTGGTTACATGTGTATGGTTCGCAACAGCATAGGTGCAAATTCTTACACTTGCGATGAAGTGATCAAAGCTCGAAGTGGTAAACGAATCCATATCTACAACACTGACGCTGAAGGACGTATCACTATGCTTGATCCTTTGACGAGAGCAAAAGAAGAGGTAAATTAGTCCCTGCTCGGCTTTTCTCAATAGGACACAGTGATACCCAATTACGCTTTTTTTTCACGAGCTGCTTATATTCTTTATTACATACTAGCTGGCTTACCCGGCTCCGCCGTATCCGGACCAAACTTGGCACACATACACTTCGGGCCCCGGCAAGTGTCACAGTCCACTTTTCGTTATCGATCGATGTCGATTTTACCGATTTTTATCGATTTTTTTGCAGAGTTCACCTACAGGGCTAGGAGTTGGCACAGGGGGGAAGTGAGCATGGGGATTCCGAATACAACATTAGTTTTCAGGATCGTCCATTACTTTTATCGATTTTATCGACTTTTTTTGTAAAGTTTGACCTGCGGGGCTGGGAGTTTGCACAGGGGGGTAATCGAGCATGCTGATTACGAACACAATATTAGTTTTCAGGATCGTCCATTACTTTTATCGATTTTATCGATTTTTTTTGTAAAGTTTGACCTGCGGGGCTGGGAGTTTGCACAGGGGGGTAATCGAGCATGCAGATTACGAACACAATATTAGTTTTCAGGATCGTCCATTACTTTTTCGATTTTATCGATTTTTTGAAAATTTGAGCTAGGGGGCTGGAATTTGGCACAGGAGTGTAATCGAGCATGCTGATCACCCCCCTTGGGGGTGATCAGCATGCTCGTTTACCCCTCTGTGCCAACTCCCAGCCCCCTAGCTCAAACTTTGCAAAAAATCGATAAAATCGATAAAAGTAATCGATAATCCTGAAAACCAATATTGTATTCGGAATCCCCATGCTCGATTACCCCCCTGTGCGAACTCCCAGCCCCGTAGCTCAAACTTTGCAAAAAAATCGATAAAATCGATAAAAGTAATCGATAATCCTGAAAACCGATATTGTATTCGGAATCCCCATGCTCGATTACCCCCCTGTGCCAACTCCCAGCCCCGTAGCTCAAACTTTGCAAAAAATCGATAAAATCGATAAAAGTAATCGATAATCCTGAAAACCAATATTGTATCCGGAATCCCCATGCTCGATTACCCCCCTGTGCCAACTCCCAGCCCCGTAGGTGAACTCAGCAAAAAAATCGATAAAAATCGATAAAATCGATATCGATCGATGACGAAAAGTAGCCTATGACACCCGCCGGGGCCCGTAGTGTATGTGTGCCAAGTTTGGTCCGGATCGGTTCAGAAATGGAATTTTCTATTCGGAACATACGTACAGACATACAGACAGACAGACATACATACAAACAGACATTCAGCTTTATATATAAGATTTTTGACTAGCACGAAATGTAGCGTATTGGTAAGCCTAGCTAATCGTTTGCTTCAAGGCATTGACGGAAACGAACCCACACTTGATGACTATCGCCACCTTGACAGGACATGAAATATTGACTTATGGTTACTATGCTACTATTATGGACAACGGTAAGTGTGCAGCAGTGCATTTCATCAATAACTGAGCGCACACGTTTTTCTAGGACCAGCCAAAAGGAGCGGATGGGCACGCAAAATCCAAGAAACAGGTGACCTCTATGGGCAACCAATCGAAATAAGTCGGCTGCAACCGGAGGTATGATATTGAGTGAATGTTTGGCCCACTAATCTACTTAGGTTGTAGGACTTCGAGTTCCACAAAGCCGAATGTGAACAAGCGGATGTTCGACAGGGTAACACAAAGCCGTCCGTTGCAACAATGAGAGGACATCAAACGCCTGCTGCATTTTTGATAATGGTTAGTTACTTTTGATAATGGTTTCTCAATTTTGGAGATATAATATTACCATGTATGACACCTGGAAGCACTGTAATCTTTACAGTCATTGAATTGTTTATTTTCTTGATCAGCACAATAGGTACAATAACAATTTTGTTGTTTACGCCTGTGTAAAATCGCTCTTACGCAATAGATATAAGCTATTTAGGCTTCTCGACTGGATGAGCATGGCTGCGACAGTAAACATCCATTGAAATTCACGCACATCGACATGGGCTCCGCTCCCGGCGATCATCCGGACACGAGCTTCCCAAATCCGCTAGTGACATTGGTGGCAGAGTAAGTGCTTTATTGTCTGTCCCCCTTTGTTGATTTTGCGTAACTGTAACAAGCACCGTGATCTGTTAGTAATACTTCGCTCTTGTAATCTATATCACAAGAAGAAGATGTTTGTGTGTGTCTTTTTTTAGAATACATATCAAGAAAACAAGCTTTTTGGATAGTGTACAGCGATATTCTTTATTTGGTTTTCGGATAACCCTAAGGATTTTATAAGAATTGTAGTGAGGCTGACAAGAAACATTCTGCAGCTCAATCAAGCTTGCAGGGGAAGGATACTTGGTCGAAGTGGCTTTTCCATACGAAATGTGTACTATCTTATAAAGCATCAAACGCTGATTTCGAATCTATCGCTATCTGCAAAGCGTTTCTGAGAGGGGAGCTATGAGAGTTTTGAGGAAAAATTCAAGGGTATGGCTAAGGTAAAACTAACAAGGGAAGTCACTTAACTTAGGTCGCGCTCTTGAAATGAGACACATATGGTTGGAATCAGCGTGAAACGCTGATTTCAAATCTGCTTTCCCTAGCTGCGAAGCCTTCCTCTGAAGCGAGTTATGAGCTTTTTCCTGAGCAAATTCTCCGTGTTGACCGACTTAGGCATGCTACGGTATCATCATCTAGGTAGTGGATCAAATGCATATTATACCCTATCAAAGTCAAATGACTCAATCTGATGTTATTTTGATTTTCCATCACTTTTTGGGCAGATTTTCATCCAAAGACCTTCTTTCCATATTCAGTTGTATGTCAGTGACACATACTAAAAAAGCTCATAACTCGCTTCAGAGAAACGCGCAGCTAGGGATAGCATATTAGGAATCAGCGTTCCGAGCTGATTCTGAATATAGTGTCTCATTTCGAAAGCCCGACCTAAGTTAAGTGACTTCCCTTGTAAGTGCTGAGTTCTTACCTGCGCTTGAGAGGAGAGATGACCAGTGATAAGTTTATTGGGCTAAAGGTATTATCTGCATAAGGCGCCTTGGCATCAATACAATTCATTGATTCTATTGCAGCAGTGCTCTCGAACTTTTGTTTCGAAAAATTTTCATAACTCTTCTCATAGAAGCGCTTCACATACAGCAAAAACAGATTTGGAGTCTCCGCTCCATGCTCTATAAGAAGACATACATTTCACATAAAAACGCCTCTTCGACCAAGTATCCTTCCCTTGTTAGTCATAGCAGGCAAGGTTTCGTTTATTTTCTCGTATGTCCCACTAAGTTCCACTTCCAAAGTGTTTTGCAACACTCAGTCTTTTCGCAGTTCGCAGTCTTCGATACTCCATCCTTTTTGCGCAAAATTTGTTAAAACTAAGTAAATTTTGTTTGTATTCTTATGTTTTAGGTTCGTCATTCCAAAAATCTAAGAGGTCACGTCGTCTTCGCCCGGTTACTGCTTGTGATAGTAATGGAGTCGTTCAAAACTATTTATTTTAGTACTCAATTGTTGTTGGCCATTTGCATTTTCTTTTATCATGCTGGAAACACTTAAGATTTGCATGCAGGTTTACTTGTTTTCATTTTCACCAGACACCGCTGAAGGGTGTTCGATAAATATTTCTATCATACTGATTACCTATTTCTCTGTTAACGTCAGCGATGTACTTTAGCTCAATGTTTAATTTGGGGATGATGACATTACACTTTGCAAATAGCATCATCAGATATTTTACCTCAAGCACGGAATGTTTTCGATTGACCCGCCTGCAAGATAACATTCAAGTTGTTATTGTGGATTAGAAAGAAAATGAGACGTGTGTGATTCCTTTCAAAAGGATGATGCGATGTAGGGAGATCCTTGGTGGTATGCTGTCTTCAAAAAGAGGAGTAACGACTTGTTGATACTCTTGGTCAGCGCACAAAATTATAAGTTAGGGAATTTGGAGCTTAAAATATACGGCCTTTAGTCGACTTCGGTATCAAGTTGTATTTGCGTCTTGACAGATCTGCGCATGAAAAACTTCCTTGGGATACAACGGCAGCTTTTCTTGCGCAAATGTGTTGGCAGTAAACCCTATTCCGCTTTGTTTGGTCAGGGGTACTATAATACCGTTTTCTGCGAGAGCTGTAAGTAAAAAATGGATGTCAAAAGCTGTAATAATGTGGATGTTATTTTCAGCTCATAAGTTCAAGGTCAAGGTTTACCCATTGCGACAGCAGGTTCTGTTAGACATTCTGTTTACTAGTCTATCGCAACCGTCTATGTCGTTTGTTCCGTGTTGTGGTTGATTTGAAGAAATAACATTTCATAATTTAAGAAAAACGAACAAAGCTCTATCTTCGTTTTCAAATGGACTTTTGGGATAAAATCGACGTAAATGCGTCTCCAATAAAAAGTTCGCCCATTATTTCATTTTATTTTCTGATCATCTAATTATTTTACATCAACACGAAGTGTAATAAATGGTAAAAACTTTTTTGCTAGTTTCAGTGTGAGCAAGCTTCGGTAAGCAAGTAAAATAAGGCAGTTATAGTAAGTACAGCTTTTGCATATGAAACTCTGAAGTCACATCTCATAAAGTGCCCCATGTGCCGTTGTTTGGACACACTCACATTTTTGGATCGTGCAATCAGTGAAGTTGGTGGAAAATTCAGTATGATCAAGGGAAAATTTTTGATACCCGTTTTTGGTTTCTCACAATCACTGACATTATAGAAGAAGTAGGAAATGTGTGTTGGTCCTCTGCAAATTTCTGGACAAATTTCAGCTCTTACTCATATATGAGTTTTACTCACGAAAGTCATTAATCTAGCAGGGGACGCTTTGTCTCGCCGTCCCGACAGCGAATGGCCTCATCAATATCAGAACGGCCTGTACAGTAATGTGTAAGAAATGCTGAAGGGTCATTCGCCTGCCATCTGTTCGCTATAGACATTGTCTAGATAACTCTCGTCTAAGTCTAAGTCTCGTCTCGATAAGTCTCGTTGCTCTTCAGCGCAGTCCATTATTCTATTCAGAAGTTTTCCATTACTCTATCCAGAAATTTTCCCGAAAAATAGTTTCAATCGGCTACTTTACCATCCGCCTTTTCAAATCAGTCGTTTACTGACCCGTTATGGTGTTTCGCTCCATGATAAGGCCATTTTACTGCCTTCGAAGAGAAACGGCAGACAAGATAAAAGGTCATTGACGAAGTTTTATCTTGAGTGCCGTTTGTTTTTTTTTTCGTTCTGAAGAGAGGTGTTACGTCTGTTTCTGGGTAAAAAAAAATTTCGTTGTATCTCTTGTTTCTATTTTCGTAGCAATATGATTTTCTGCTGTTTTGGCCATCGTATCTGTTGAAAAGTTATGTATCGTCTCCATCTGATAATGTTGATATTTCAGTGGCTCACGCATTTTTTCCCATTTTCAAAGAATGGAAGGGCAATCGCTTGAGCATGGACTGGCACAGAAGCTGATGATTATGGAGAACGCTGCGGCTAAAGTGGCAACTTTGCGAGCACAGCTCAGAACAAATGTTGATCAGGTAATCTTTTTTGTTTGCACACTTGAATATGTTTTGGTTTGGCAAGTTTTTCTTTTGTATCATCTTTTTCGTTTTTTTGCCAAACTCTGGTGTTTTTATGAATGCCTCTAAATCAGTTTTATCACTTGCTACGCGACGAGAATCTATCTTTGGGTCCTTTTATTTGAGAGAAGTACGGAATAAATTCTTTTTATCTGCTGTCATTGCTGCAAACTGTTACTTTGAAGATATAAAACGAAAAGTTTGAACTTTTACATCAAATTATAGTAGTCATTGTAGTAAATTATTAGTTCCACCAAAAAAAAACCTTTGTTTGCTGGTTTAGGCGCGTAAAGAGGTGAGAGCAGTAATGTCACAGCAAATGATGCTTCTTCGTGCGCGCGAGCAAGAGTTGTTGGATGAGTTGGATGTTATAATGAATCACAAGGAAAGCAAGTTGGAGCTACAACAACAGTCATTGTACAGGAATATCTGTAAGCTTTTTTTATTCACTTAGCTGTATTTGAAGATGGAAACATCAATTTAGGGGAGTGTAAGCAAGCCCTCGACAAGATCCGAGGAAGCGGCTCGTCGGCGGATGCCATGCAAGTGTTTTCGAGGTGATTTTTCCCCTTCTCAGAATATGCATCGATTTTTTTTACTATGTGGAGAATCAGCTCTTCAAATGTTCTAAATAATTTGTTTAATTTTTGCAGGGTTGGACATGTTGAATTGTCCTCGAGAGAGTCGGCCCATGTTTCGTTCGAATCCGATGCAATCGGATTACGCTCGAAACTTTTATCGTTTGGTACGATTCGAACGTCTTCAAGACATGATCAGGGCAATTACGTAAGTGTGACTTTTGCCTTGTCATTCCTAATTTTATTCGTTGTCAAAGCCAGTTTTTTTCGTATTTTTCTTGATACGACCTCCTAACCTTTTTGTTTACACCGTCTTGTTTACTCACTTTGTACCGCACACCACCTTGGTCATGGCCTTTATCGCTATTGTGCATATAATGGCGCAGTTGCAGTAATTGAAGCTCTCTTTTAGTGGTTTGCTTTCTCATCCACTTTCGTTTTCAGACTACACCTGGCGAAAGCCTTCCCATGGATTTTGAGGAGTATGATGATGCGTTGATGGCGCATAAGTCTGTTTTGCGAATGAGATCCAACCCCACGAGTTCGAGTATGAGCAGGCAGCAAGTGGAATCAGTGGGTCTTTTTTCGTAATTTTAATATAGTCTATGGATTTTGTCTGTCAGGTAACAAAATGGCTAAAGAAGATTCCATCTGGTCCTGGAGCTCTTGACGCTGATGTATCAACTCTTATGGCAGAATTCGACGTCATCAAGGTAAATATCAGTTAGCGAGAGGGTTATGTTTATTTCAAAGACTTCTTTTTATACCATCTATACATTTTAGAACTCGTCTACACCAGAAGCTGAAGTAGAAAGCACAGACTCCGCATCCTCATTTGACATCATTGCTCCTAAAGATGGTAACGTTCCGGAAACTCCTGTCGAAAAAGTGTTGAGTGCTGAATTCCTGAATGTTCGTTTGTTCGATTCAAAAGCTTTGCTGGTATGAACTTTTATCAGTAATCGCAACATTTCAGACGCTTCAACAGCCGTTATCATCGTGGCTTATGCGTATCATGCCCAGTGAACACAAGGTAGCCTCGGAATAGGATGTAAACAGTATTTTCATTTTGAACTTATTGTTAAGGCTGCTACGGAAACGGCAGTCACCACTCCTGTGGAGGAATCGCCACGCTCGATGAAACGTCCACATAGTTGTGGAGAAATCCGAAGGTATTAACCTATTTTTATCTCTTTTCGAGTTTCTAGCCCATTCAAGATGAGGCCTGTTCCCCTTTTGTGGCATAAAAATTTGCTCCAACCTTCGAGCATTTATAGCATTTATCTCCGTTCTGATCATGACTCTAGAAGTAATTGTGTGTCTAATTCAGTTCTCTGGAACACTTACGTTCCAGATATGGGTTCCAAAACGTCATAAGCAGTGTCAACGCATCTAGCAACGACTCTTGGATTCTCGAGTCGGAACCAAGCAAGAAAACGCGTACTGAAGAAAAGGTGTGCTTGCAAAGTACATTCGTTTTCATCGGTATTTCTTTGATTCGTTTGCAAAGGCACTCCTTTCGACTTTCTTATGCTGATGTAGGTAACGAAGTTTGTGGTATAGTCGACTGCGCGGAATCGCCCGGGCTAACGCCCGCGAGCGTGTCTCTTGCGGGCTATCATTGGCATTCGCGCGCATGACTTATCATAGTGCCCGTACTCGGCAGCCGCATTGCAGGCAAGCTCGCGTGCGTTCAGTCTACAGCGACCCGGGCGACTTCCTGCGGTCGAATTTATAGTGTTTAGGAAGTTTTCGAAGCGTACCAGTTAGGGTGCATGAATTATATAATCCATTATCTTTTACCTCGCGCTCATTTCGAGTAATTAATAGACACTACGCAGTTGAACTAGAAAAAGCTGTTCTTGGTCGAAGTGGACTTATGAGGTGGATTCTGTGCCATTTCAAGAGCACTGAATGCTGATTCCAGTTTCTTTTCTGCTGTGCTCCTGCCAAGTTATGAGCGTTTTCATGTTAAAAAGAGCTACGAGCAAAAACATTGAGGAACGCTCCGATGGACCAATGCTAAAATATGAGGGCACTCAGTTATATCTTCTTTTCTGTCAAACTCTATTTAACACTGCGCTGTCTGTGTGCTGTGACCGTAGCGGTCAATTTCACCGAGATTCTGCGTTGGTTTTTCGCTCCAAAATGCTCATTTGGCGTGCAAAGATGCATAGTGAATAGCGGCAACAGGTTTGAAATCAGCACCCAATGTTCTACAAAGCGACATGGAATTCATATGAAAAGACCATTTTTATCAAAAAAGGCTTCTTCTTAGTCTACAAGTATCACAATTTTTCGCCAAAATTTTCGCGTGTTCCCTTCATTTAAACTTCAAGCACATGTTATAGGCGGAAAGTAGCAGTACGGGAAGTGTTAAGACAAGCAGGCCTGAGGACGCATCAGTGAGTGAACAAGAGGAAACTCAGGTAGGATTGTTAGTTTTGAAAGCAGAATTCTGACTTTTGTCAAATGATTTGTATCTGTTTAGAATGACCCACCATTCAACGAGTCCGAGTTTATTTCGCACTTATCGAGACTGTTTCTTTGCAACTCGACATCAGCTCCACATGGAACTGCAGATAAGCCGAGCACTCAGGGGATTGATTTGAGCACTGTTCTGGGCTGGAAACAAGTTTTGGATAGAATTGAGCAATCTGCGCCCTACTGGCTTCAGGACAAGAAGCAATGATTTTTTTTCAGTTTTCTCCAGTTCTGGTCTCATCCCTACTAATCAATAATCTTTGTGCATTCTAGGTTTGTCTATCTAAAGTGAATCTAAGTAGCTGAAACATCTTGATCGTTCTGCTTAGAATTAGCTCTGTGGTTTTATAGTCATTATGACAAAGCAATCGACTCCTTAGGAAATCAGATCTGTGCTAGTTGCCCTTCTAACAATGCGCGCATCTCTTCCACTAGCAATGCGAGAGCAATCATGGTCGCATCTTTTGCGTTCATTAATCTACTATAGCGATTTTCTTTCGGTTTTCGTAGAGTTTTTCGGACACAGTTTTTTTCTCGTCATGGCGGACAGACTAGAAGGGTCCATCCACCGGGGGACTCCTACCAAAAGTGGGTTTTGCGGCTATGAAAATCTGCAATTAATCGTTTTTCACTTGTAATACAATTATTTTCTTAAGTCTATGGAACACCAATTCGAAGGACAACTTTTTCGGGGGTGTGGTGGCGCTGTGCTCCTTCTCACCCCTTGGAATTTAATTTTAGGACCGTTACTGATCTGAGCACATGCAACGTTATTCCCTTTATGGTGACGTTGAACATTATGCGCTACATTCGACTAACTCTCCTTCGTTCTATGGCCATCTCACAATCATGACATTAAAATTTTTTTATTATGTTAAAGGGATTTGCCTATACATTTATGATTCATATCTCGAATTCTAGATAGTTTTCATGTATCTTTGCTAATTGCAAAAGTCTTAGTGTTTTCCGAGATAGTGTAAGGATGTAAGTTGATGTGAACATTGTTTTAGTGATGATGCTTAGCAAAATTATCATTGTTGGAACTTAGTTTTGTAGTGTTTATAGAAAATTATGTATTTTTGCTGAATAAATATTAGTGAGTATATATACATTTGCAATCACGATTCATAAGTAGTAGGAGGTGCACGATGGAAATAATGTGTTCACCATCCTGCTTTGGATTTCACTTCTACAGTTCCGGTATCGGTTGAGATTGTATGGATTGCGGCTGAAAAACAAGCATTTTGTCATATAATATGCACCATTAGATTTGGGGAACCTTTCTTTATGCTTATTGTGGCTAACTGTCCGTGCGTTTGAGCAAAATTAAAAAATTGGCTGAATCTTGTCGGAACTACCAGTGAAAGCTCCATATTTCTTTAATAGAACTTTTGGCGAGAACTACTTCAAAAAAGCACTCAGACCAAACTCACTAAAACTTGGAGGAATAGTGCATTTGCACTGCTAGTCTCTTTTGCGCGTAAGAAATCCGCGTGGTGCGCATATCGTCATTATATGTGCTCGTCATAATTTTTTTCGATTTCTTTCGCTTATTGTTTTAGGGCGTTAAATGAGGGCTATCCTAATCTATTTGCTGCCTGTCCAAGTGCTTTATGCTCGAGGCTGGTGTTCTATTGATAACTCTGTGGAGAAAATGGACTGGGTTTTTTGGTCATTGAATCCATGGTCTCACGTTTGTCACCGGTGCTTCCAACGATTATTTGTAGAGTGTTTTCAGGTTGTCCGTCGGCTGATCTTGCTGAGCGTACGTCTGCCGACTCAAGTATGAGTTCGTTGTCCTTGGTTTGAACTGAAATGCACATATAGAAAAGAAACGAAAATGTTGATGTTGATATACAGTCGAGTAGATTTCATGCTTAATATAGTGCCCCTGCAGACGCGACAACGCTGGGGCGTCAATAATTGCCTGACAAGTTCCCGAGCTAGTTTTTCCAAAGTTTTCTTTGCTTATTCTATGCTTTTAGGTGATTCGTTGCTGATAAAGAAGAAAAGGGTAAGTTGGTAAGTTTCTGAGAGTAGTTTCTGTTTCTGAGAAGTTCTATCATTGCATATTCACAGATATCCACGTGGAAGCATCGCGTCAGCTTCTTGTCTATTTTTTTTTGTCACTTCATGTCTCTTTCTTCTTGTGAGGTACTTCTTTGAACGCTAATGGGTTTTTACGATTGACTTATTGTCTTTATCCTATGAAGTACTTGATTAAAATGCTTTTTCTTATGGATGAAAGCCGAAGTTGCTGCAAGACAAGCCAACTAGCGTTCAAAGAAACGCCTCACAAGAAGGAGGAGGTTCGAAAGAAGAGGTGACAGAAGAAAAGGAAATGACAAAAAATAGACAAAAAGCTGACGCGAAATGCTCCCACGTGGATATCTGTATGTGAATATGCGATAATAGAACTTCTCAGAAAACAGAAAATACTCTTTAACTTACCATTTTCCTCTTTATCAGCAACGAAACAACTAAAAAGCATGAAATAAGCAAAGAAAACACCGGAAAACACTAGCTCGGGAACTCGCAAGGCATTTATTGACGCCCCAGCGTTGTCGCGTCTGCAGGGACACTATATTAAGCAGGAAATCTACTCGACTGTAGCTGAGTATTTTTTGTTTTGGCTGACCTTGGATGTGTCGATCAAAATTTTTTTTCAATAAGAAAGCCCCTGGTAACCTACCTGTAAAAACTTGGTTAATATTTTCGTTGTTACTGGCTTGGAAGACTCTGCTTAGAAGATTGTTCACTTCATCATTGGAGGCAGATGATGTGTGACCTGCAAAGAAATGCAATCAATGTATCTTACGGTTAACATAATGCGGCTGCGGTGACGACAATATTTGCTCGGAAATCAATGTCATGCTTGTCAATGTCGGCAGTTTGCTTGCGACTTGCGCGTCAGAATTAACGATGGCGCATGCTGTAAATTTACGCGCAAATGTTGTCGGCAACGCAATCATTGCATCTACAAAGCGTATGCAATATCAGTGAGGCAGTTGAAAACCAAGGAGGATCGGACGCATTTTTGAAAGTAATTTACACGAGCTATAAAGGTATGCAAGTATCATGTATGTACTTGCAAACAATTGAAATAATTTCAAATTTTTTGAAAAAAATCAGTCTTTCAGCTTTGTAAAAAAATCCTTTCGGGAGGGGGGGGGGTTGCCTTCACGCCCTCTCGTAAAACTTCGCTAGGCCCCCAAAAGTCTTGGAAAACATGTCAAAAATTTTCATAAAGAAATTTCCTGCCTTTCCCCCACCCTCCCGCAGGGGAAACCTGAAACTGGCACTGCAGTCAGGCAATCCACGGTGATGATTACATGATCTGATAATTTACAGTAGCATTACAGTAACATACAGCATATCAAACATGACCTTCTAAAAGTGAAATGAGCTGATTTTTAAGCCTTTAGGTGCAAGATGAAAAAATCAACAATCGAAGAACTGGTGTGCAATTTTTTTGCTATTTCGTTGTCTCTAGCTACAAGATCATGGAAATGGATTTTGATAAGTTATTTTTAAGATGAGCTTGGAACTTATTTGAGCAAAATCCGGTGAAAAAATATCTATAGCGAAAAAAATTGCTAGCTATACCAATGAAGAATACATGAAAGGGTCTTACCTAGATGGCAAAGTGCCGCAGCTATGCAGATCACACTGAAACGCGTTGTCATCACTGGATTAAACTAGTTGTATAGGAGCAGAATGGCAGATTATGTGCGCATGGTCTCCTATAAACTGTGATTCACAAGTGATCAATGGTCTCTGTTTATCCTTTTGTTGTTGGCTATAAGCATTATGAGCGCAGTGACAAACTATTGATGATAAAAAACCTGAAGTCTTTTTTATAAAGGAATTGCGGAGTCTGAAGAAAAAAGGAAATTATTGGCTATCACAAAGAATAACGATGCTGCACTTTCTTTCTTATAGAAGTTTTTCAAGCGCAGTTGCTTTCATTGCCTCGGAAAAGCACTTATCACGAGGGTATGCTGATGCAGGAATGCATGAAGTAGTATGAACGTTTTATTCGCTCCAGAGTTTGAAGGACTTTCCAGCTTCTTATTCGCATGCCACATTGTTTTGATGCTATTCTTCGCTAGAATATGCGCAAACAGAAGGAAAATCTGGATGCTGGGGTTTTCAGATAGCAAATTCTCTAACAGTGAATGCATTTTTTTCTTTATGCTGCATCCAAAATTTCCGTCTTTTTATCAGGCAATGCCGGTCCCAGAATTCCATCCGGGGTGCGACAAACTCTGAAAATTTTTCAAGTAGACCTTCCAAAACGGGTAGGGAATAAACTCCGCCAGTTTGAGCCGCCTCAGCGGACTACTGGTCTGCAACGACATGCGACAACATTGCGAAAGGACCAGCTGCCAGCGAAGGCGGGCTAAAACTGGCGGGGTTCGTTCCCTTACCCTTTCAGAACTTTTTGCGGATCCATAAGTCCGAAATCTTAGAAAAAAAAGTTGTGGCGACAGGCACACCCACGAAAAATCACCGCTCAACGCTTATCTGCATTTTTGTAAAACTACAAAAATGTACAAACAAGTAACCTTTCACATTTGTTGGAGCGTCTGGATTGCGGAGATCGTGAATTTGGCGGGAAAAGGTTCCTATTTGACCCCCTCAGCAGGGTATAAATACCGGTGGATAAGAGGGAGCAGGCAGAGGGTGAAGAGAGCGCTCCAGGGAGTTTAAACGAGCCATCAAAGAGAGGTGGACCTCCCCCCTTAGATAGACAGAAGCTAGAGAACCCTGCTGAGCGGGCCAAATCGGGTCAAAAGGACCCATATTCGTTGTTGAGTGTTCAAGTTGTACAAATTGTTCAAGTTATTCTTGTTCATTGTTGCCATAGAGATAAATATCTTTATTTCAACCATGTCTTTATTGATCGATCCGGTTCAAACCGTCAATACCACTAGGCAACCCCCGTTACACATTTTTAAAACCATTAAGCAACTTTCAAAAATTTCACCACCCATCCCCTTCCAAACACATGCTGAAGCACTCTTCCAGATTCATTGCATGAAATTCTGCACAAATTTGAACAGCTGCATTCGAAATCAAAATTTCATTGCATTCACTTTTTTGGCTAAACGGCGCAAACAAATGCATTCTTCAAAAAAAAAATAGCTACCATATGTCGTAGAATTCTGTACATAATGTATTACCAATAAAAATTTTTGAAATTGCTGAAACTGAGTGGAACTCAGAGAGGATAAGTCGTCCATACTATTACACAAAAAAATTCTTCTGAATGCATGTCGCTTCGCTCATTATTGCAATGAGTCAGGTATCTTCTAAACACTTTTTGCAAACAAAGTTAGCTTTCCAATGAACAAAAATGGAAAGATTCTACAATGCGAGAGTTAAGGACTTTTTACAGAAAGTTTGAAAAACAGACAATTTTGAATTTCTCGTTTTCCTGATATGGCTCATCAAAGTGAAACTGTGCAAAATACGCATTCTTTTTGCGCGTTCATCGGAAACCAGGTTTCTTTGCACAGCATCAGACTCACCCGTTTACAGCGCCCATATAGCGATGGTATGTACAATCGCGGTATCAAGTCCTCTTCTACGGTATCAAAATTTTGGGCTTCCTTCACATAGGCGAAGTCATGGTGTTTTTAAGATCATGAACAGGGACGAGCAGGAGGTCAGGCACAAAACCTCGAGAACGACCTCCTCCCCCTCCCCTTAACCTGAAAGCTTCAAACAACCCCATCCTTCCTCTTCTTCACGTCCGGAACCTTAGAGTGCGACTTTCTGGAGGACATCATCCATTTCAACGATTTTTTTGAACTTTTTGGAAAACAAGTTTGTACGCCCTATTTTATGTGACAGCACTTTACAATCACACGTAATTTGACGGCTGATTTTGATCTGAATGGACTTATTGAAAGGACCATATTACCTGGGAGTGAGGTGTTTGGCTCCAAATTTTCACTGTAGCAAGAAGTGCTGTGAGCTCAGTATTCGCGTCAGAAACGGAGCGATTTCTGGTTTTTGAAGACATGTTAAGAAGGCAGGCACAAGGCTACAAAATCTCAGGGAGCCTGACCTTTTGAGTGATTGTGCCTGACCCGATTAACCTTATCACCGAAGAAGCTTTATTATCCTAGTTCCATGCGATTCGCCAGCAAAAACCTCGAAGACTCTACGGTAGGATTTGAGCTTACCTCGACTTGTTTTGGCTTTGCGTTGATCGATGAAGTTGAAGCATTCGAGGTGGAAAACGCGATGAATGAAATCTTGGCAGCACTTCCTGATCCACTTTTTGGGAGCGATATAAAGTCCAATTTCTACCAATGATAAAGAAAATTCTTCATTATGAGTACAAGAAAGCTCGCTTTTTTCTTTTATGAGCAAGTTAATCATGTTTGAAAATCACGCTTTTGAGGCTGTTGTGATTGCAAATGATCAGTTGTTCCTCATAGTGATCTGCCTCGCGTGGTCGATCGCAACCTCAGAGTGCGCAGGAATCGAGTGCTTGTCGGGATACCATTTGTACATATCCTATGCCCGTCATGCTACCAGTGTTTACTGGACACGTCCCCCGTCTACCACACAGTTGCTGTTGTACGATTATAAAAGACAGCAACTCTTGCAACACTCCCTCTCCTGACTGGCCGTCTACATACCAGTCTACGTCCTCCCTCTTTTCCTCTCCTTTTATGTAACCTATGTAATAAACTCATTTATAGTTACTTATGTCTTGGACACATTACACCGCTACACTCTCAGGCAAGGCTCCCTACACTCCTTTAACCTGTTGTGGAGGTCCCAGGGAGATATCATCCCGCATATAGACTAATTTTTTTCTCTCCAAAAACCTGAAAAAAAACACCACCCCCACCCTTCTTCCAATCGTCTTACAAACCCCTTCCTCGACAAGGAATTTCGAATGACGAGTGAGTATTTTCTTATTATTACCGCTAACCGACAATGGTGTGTGTCAACATTAACCTAGTGCAATCTGAAAACTCCCTACATAAAGTCCTGCAGGCGGATACCTTAGGCAATGAATTACATACATGCATGTAAGAGCGCGGATATTTTCGAAGAACAAAAAAATTCCGTGCCGATTATAATTGGGCGCAGTTCATAATTTATTTTTTAACGTATTACAGTAGATTTGCTCACAAATTCACCGTGGTCCGTGACTTACGCAATTAAATTAAGAGAAAAAGTATTGAATATTGACTATTATTTTGTGCATAAAAATAAGGGTAAATTGATTGAGATTATAGCTAACATATCGGGATTTATCCCCTAAAATACAGATAATCATCATGAAATTTAAAAGGACTCGCTCGCGAAAACCGGTTAATTATGGTCATACAAAATCTGAGATTGGCTATACGAAAATATAGCACGTGAAGGCGCTGACATTTATCAGCTACGCCCGATTCACGGCGCATTGTTTGGTGAATAGATCATTGCATCTCGCCGGCAGCGCAACCTCAACCAACCTCAACTAGCAATAAATTGTCTCGTGGAACGAAAACCCACAAGTGGCCGTACGAAATATTAGGTTGAACCGAAAGTTTTGTCGCACCATTTTCAAAAATTCATAACTTCTGATTTCTCCAGCCGATTCCGCTGCTTTTATTTTTGTATGAAAGAGTAAGTCATGCCCTTTACAATGACATTTTAGACGCTTACTAATGATCATCTGTTGCATAGATAGGAGCGATAGAAGAAAATTAGTCAAAATTCGAACTTTCTGCGTAGGCTCATAAAAAATCGGGAACTTGCAACAAAAATCGGAGCAGTCGGTATTGTAGGTTTTTTTACCGCTCTTTCTAACTGTGCAAAGTTTGCGCCGATTGAGCTTTTCTACGAAAAGTTACGATTTTCGAGCAAGCGATACAAAAGGGCGAATTTGATTTATTTTGGCATTTTTCAGGGAATTCATAACTTTTCACAGAGACGCTCAATCAGCGCAAGCTTTGCACCGTTGGGAAGAGCTTGTGAAAGAACCTACAATACTGACTGCTCCGATTTTTGTTGCATGTTTCCGATTTTTTATGACCCTACACGAAAAATTCAAATTTTGAGTGATTTTGGTTTTGAGCTTCTATCTCCATAATTTGTATATATTAGCGATCATTTCAAGCACTTTTGCAAAGAGCATGAGTTCCTCTCTCACGCAAAATTTGGATCTTGTAAATTCGTTGAGAATTCAACAAGTTATGAATTTTTGAATTTGGTGCGAAAGAACTTTTGCATCAACCTAATACAACTTTCGCTCTTGTACTGCTTTAGCGAAATTGTGCTATTTTAGCGCAAGTCCCACTTAAAAGAAAAACAAAAAATAAATAAATAAGTAGTAATTCGTCTGTATATTACAATCCGTTATTATAAACCTGACGTTTTTTTCACTACATCGAATATTGCACTACAATTTTGTCCCCCTATGCAGAATTTCAACTTTTTTTCGTACCTATGTAACGTTATAATTTACTTACATGAATGCTTATATTTTGCACAAGTATAATGTCTGTCACCTGAATTCAACACCCCCAACTACCGCCACTGCAATGCATGATACCACGGTCGTCGCTAAACACCACCGGCAATGCCATTCTCCTCTCATCGCTCGAGGACGAGCTTCCTCAACCATCCGGGGTAAAGAGAAGGTCGTATGAGGTAAGATTAGGTGACTGCTTCAATAGTTCACTTAATCTGATTTTACCTCGGTATGCTAACAAAAGCAACACTTTTTCCGATCAATCTTCAACAAATTCGAGGACGAGCTTACCGTAGGAATGTAGATGTCGGGATACAATTTCAACAATCATATTACTACCAGTCTACCGCCTCCCCCTTTTCCTCTCCTTTTATGTAATTTATGTAATAAACTTACTTATAGTTACTTATGTCTTGGACACATTACCGTAACACCGCTACACTCTCAGGCAAGGGTCCGTACACCCCTTTTACCTGATACGCTATAAAACGCGCTCACTCTTCGTCTCAGTCAGTTCTATTGTTCATCTGTTCAGTCATTCGCCTCTCTTATTTTTACTGTTCTATTATTCTCTAATAAATATGCCTGATTTTTCCTGTGCTTCCACCCAGGACGAAGACTTCGAAGTGTCCGAAGTGAAGGACACAACAGAGGCTTTGGGAATTACTAGAAAATGTAATAGGTAATGGTTTGTAGAGCGCGTACAGGTTATTCGATTATGGATATTATGATTAGTGATTGGAAATTAGTGATTATGGAAATCAAATTGAAAATTTGGTGATTATGGAAATCATACCCAATTTACACAAAAAGCTTTTTTCTTCATCTTACCTTACGGTATGTGTAAAGTAAGATGAAGAATTGAAATTCGGTTGAGACTTCGTTAGGAGTTAATCAATACGCTGTTCACAACAGTCATTCCTTTTCTGGTGGAGTTGTGATATTTATCGGTCTAGCGCTTTTCTACTTCACCTTACTCAATCGTAGAATTTCCTCCATTTCTGAACAGATTCGTCTTGATTACGATTCCTCCCTCTCCCAGTCTTACACCCCAACACGACCCTCCCCCAGGTCAGGCATGCCTGACCCTACGCCCAAACCTGATCATGAACACTCTGTGCAACAGAGTCTGCACAGCATCACCTAACAGTAAGTCAACTTAGTTTAGGCGAAACTTGGACTGGCGGGAGTCGGCTTCGCAACAATCCGCGCCGCTTTGCGGTCTCTTCATTCTAATCTATCTCGCTGAGCCAGTGGTGGTGCGGAGCGCTGCTCTACTCAAAATGTTTCGCCTAATCCGGGTTGAAAAAGACTATACTCAACAAACACTTATCGAAAGTTAGACTATCTATTGATGACAATGAACAGGTTTGTCTCCATGTAGAGATATTGCTGTTATCAAAGGGGGTGTTTTGGTGAAACCTAATATTTCTATACTTTTCCCTAGCTTATATAACTTGTGATAAGCGAAACTCTTTCAAGCCGGTGAAAATTGAGTCGCAAACTGCTGTTTTAACAACCTAAAATTTGAAGTATTGCAAAACTGACAGAGGTTACGGAACGACTCACTGCCTATAGAGGAGGTTCTGTAGACTAGACTACGTAAGGTAGTCCCAATTCTCGGATCTGAATATTTTACAACTCCTTCGGGTTAAGAATTCGGTTCGGAGATGTTGAAGAGTTTATATAACTTTGTAACTTTTCACATAAACACTTTGTGCCATCAAAATCTAGTGCATTACAAAGACCAATCGAAAGCCTTTCCTATATGCTTTTCACTACATAAATATTGAACAGAATTGCTTTGATGGATACGAGTCTTAGTTTCACGTCTGCGTGCTGAGATGCTAATTCTTTCTAGTTTCTCAAGGTATCCCTCTCAACTCATTTTTTTCTTTTTGATGATCTTGTCTTTTGCCCAAGATGTTTGCTTCACATGGTTGTATATTAAGAACTTATATTGAGGTGTTTAGGTTGATGTGTATATAATCCTTGTAGACCCGACATCACTTCTACTCTGAAGGGAACTTCGCAAACCTAGCAAAATCGCAAAAGATGTCGTTTTCGAAATCGACAAAGACAACTGGCCCTTGGCCTCTATCCTACCATACTGGGTGTCAGCTGACAAGCTCCTAGGTTCCTTTGAGTGATGGTGGCTTTATATATGGTAAAATTTCAGGATTTTGTGCAAAGCTCATTTTTGTCGTTTGTACGAAACAAAAATTTATCGACTCAGCAACAACATGAACAACGTTTTGATTTAAGCAAATCGAGCAAAAGGACTTGTTTTCGGCAAATTGATAGGAGCATCATCTATGACTATATGATCTATCAAAACCGAGTGATCGATGTCGATGAGCATGACTATTTGTAACTCAAAAACAATGATTCCCTTGCAACGGAATACAAAGTCGCCTTCAGGTGTAAATTCTCCCAATTTCATACATTGTCTGTCGTCAGAACCAGCGACAATCGTTCCTGGACCAAGTTTATCATTAAGACCTGGGGGAACACCACTAAGGAACATGATTCCTGAAACGAAGATAACGTAGTTCGGTGCAGACAATTCGATATTGTTTATCGTCGGTTCGTTGACCGCACGGACTGCTAAAACGCTGCGGACAAGACGCGGCGCGGTTGGGTTGTCGCGAGAGCACGACTTTTACAATGGCGCATTTGTACTGGGGCAAGCGTTATACCTCGCGGCGCGTGCTGCGCAGTGATGCCTAGTCCGTTCGGTCAACAAAACAACTATACCTGTTATGTTCAATGGTTTTTTGAAAGTGATGTCAACACTATCGTCCTTTCGTGGGCTAAGAAACCACATAGGCTGCTTGTAGTCGTAGCCACGTTGCGAGTCATAAAATGAGTATGCTTTCATCTCTGTTGTCACGTTAGCTGGAGGATTCGATCGTTTTTCCTGAGAAATGAATCTGTAGGCTTTGTTACCCGCCCACTTCTTTAATGAAAATTTTACCATGGTCACTTCTCTAATTGCATTGGAACCGCGAATTTTGTGTATTTTACGGTTTGAAGAGGAGATAACGCCGCGATGCTGGAACTGCGACGATCCGGATGATATGCAATGCGACGAGATCGCCTGGAAGATGCATCACTCCCGAATTTTCAATTTTTACTTCATTTAGACTTCCTCTCAGCACCTGCGCGCAAACTTTGTCATCCATTCCTGGGTTGCAGTATTGACTCCGGAGAATATCCTTCAGTATCCAGTTCACCGGCTTGAAACGATAGTACATAGCTAAGGCGGTAGTCATGTAGTTGAGACTATCATCACTGCAAGGCGCCGTATATGTGGGTATTCAAAACCTAATCATATCCTATTTACCTGAAGAGCTTTCCTGTGAACCCCATGTCAGCGAAATTCATAACGAACCAATCCTTTCCTTGCTTCACTGTGATGTATCCAAAGATTACTCGGCTGAAATTTGGTACCATAGGAGAGGTTTAAACATTTCTTTTGGTAAAGCAGAAGACTGGTGGTAAGCAATATTTGCGGTCATCAATTCCTACAGAGAAGAAAGGGACATTTGCTTAGACATGTGTTAAAGTCGACTGCACGAAATCGCGCGGGTCGCTATAGGTTGAACATAGGCGAGCGTGTCTGCAACACGGCTGTCGAGTACGGGCGTTATGATGACTATCGCGCGCGAATGCCAAAGTAAGCCTGTAAGAGACACGCTCTTGGACGTTCAGCCCAATCGATTCCGTGCAGTCAACGATATGAGGGTTTCAAAGGAGTTAAATGCTCACTCGTAAGCGGCAACAGCCTCAATGTTATCGTCCAACTGCAAATAGTACTCACATCTGGATTTGGCGTAGGTCATTATGTAGAAATAGTCTGAATCAAGGAATAAGATTAGTTACAGATATGAGGGCTGAGATTCTCTGGGTCTGGATACAGAGACGCATACCTAAATTTTGTTTTGTTCTCCAATGCATTCTCATTGCGGATTTATTGGATGTAGATGGACTGGAAGCTGTATGCGCTTTGTACCAAGACGGCGGTATCGCAGTTATCTGAAAAGAACAGACATGCACCTAAACTCGTGTTTATTGGGTCAACTCTTCTCGAGGTATTTTTTGAAGTAAAACACAAGCTTAGATCTTTATTGCGTACGAGTTCTTGCAAACGACCAAGATAGCAACATGTTTTCTACAATCATCGGATGCATTTGAACTATCGCCTTGTGAAAACCACATAGCTTGAACCATACAGACTTTTACAGATTCTGAGATGAGGTCTCAATACTATAAATACAGTTATGCCAGCAGAATGTGAAAATTCTCGGCGAAGTCGGAAAATTTGGCAGAGCTGGCAAATTCTGCGACGTCGCCGATTTTGCCGATTTCGCCAAGAATTTTCACATTCTAGAGTAAAACTGTAGAGTTAGAGTTGAGGCAGCACAATTTTGTATAGCTGCTGGTCCCTTGCACCCCTTACGAAACATTAAAGTGAGTACGAGTATGGATCCGTGGCCTCCCGTCTTGTGCTTTCCCAGGAAATTTTCTCTGATTCTTAAATTCGACACCACGTTAAAGGCAGTGTCCGGACAAAGCAGGAGTTTTGGGATTTTAGCCCATGCGAAAATGGGCCCGCTCAGACACGGTATCGCGCAAGTACGAGGCTATAACGATTTGGCAGAAACAAGAAGAACGATCGGAAAGTTGGGAAACTTACATCTTGGGACGGGGCCCTCCGCCTGTTGGTCCTGCTCTGCGGCAGGGTACGCACGCCTCCGCAGTTAAAGTCTTAGGCCCGTATGTACGTACATTCCCGCGGGGAGGGGATGTGCGTTTTACCATTGAAATGATCTCCGCTGGAGCTTCCCTCCCCTCCAGACGATATCGGCGAAGGGATCCCCTGGGGTGGGGAAGGGAACCACCCTATGCACAAGGGGATCGAGCGGAGACATCACTTTTCTTTCGCTTTCATATGGCGTTTTTTTTTTGTATTCTCATCTTTTGACGACTGCTTATCTTCAATTTTCGTCATCGGCAATGACTTAGGCCTTGCGGAATGCGCATCTGCCGTGAATGCGCTCGGCACACCAAAGATTGAAGGTGTTCAACAATAGAAGTCAGATCTCTCTGCAGGGGACGGGTAGAAGACTTTATGCTGCCGAAAAAAGGGAGGGGGAACTAACAATTTCTACGCATAACAGAAGCTGCAAATCGTGCCAGCTCTCCATGAACGCTGTAGCTATTAGCGACATATCATCCTTTACCTCAGGGGAATGATCCCCAGCGGCCATCCCTGCTATGCACGAGGGGAACGCTGCGGAGGGGATCACTCCCCCGAGGATCTCTAATCAGAAATGGGCAAACCTGCTAATTTTTATTTTTTTCAAAGTAGCTTACGTTAGGATAACAAGATAAAGACATCATATCATATAATATGATAGTTACAATGTGTTGTACCAGCCTTCATGGATAAAACCAGCATGTCATATAAAAAATGCGCAAATCTTGAGAATGTTTAGAAACTCCTACAGATATTCGAAACTAGCAGATATATGCCCGGGTTTCTTCACGAGAAGCGAATATAGAAGAGAGAGACAAAACTGCAAGCTACAGGTTGCTGAAAGAGGAACCCGGCTACCATGGAGAATCTTTCATCAATTTGAATCAAATGCTTTGTAATGACTGATTGAAACCAGATTAGTCGCTTTTTTGGCATGACCTACACCAACGAACCCCTACTCGTTGTAGGGGATGCGGATCCCCTCCCCGCGTTGCTGAGTTACACTCGTGCACGGAGTGGAGATCACTGCGGAGCACGCGCCGCGAGGCAAAACCCTTGCCCCAGTACAAATTCGCTATTGCACAAGTCGTGCTCTCGAGACAATTAACGCGCCACGCGTGGTCCGGGGTTTGAGCAGTCCGAGCGGTCAACGAATTCACGATGATTCATTTCAATTTATAAACGAACGGATTCCGAATCTACTTGCATCTGCTACGCGGTTTTTTGAAGAGGTTATGTGCGGTTAAAAATGAAGTGATTGAAGTCTCAATGCATAGTCTGCCTTAAAGTCGACTTGGAAGAGCTCTTGTCATAGTGTTGAATGTACTGACTATTACTGTTTACAAGAATGCACACATTTACCAAAAACATAAATTAGTGTCTAGGCAACTGTTTCCGTAAGCATGAGGAGGAGTGAAAGTTTCCCATACTTGGGCTTTCAAACGCTCACTACTTCATCTACAGTATCAATCAGCAGATGAGATAGGTCTGGAAATCAGCTCAGTAATCCGCATCTATCGACATGCATTTTGATTCGATCGCTGCAATTCGGGATCCTTCCCTAGTTAGTCATTTTCTCAAAAAATAATATGTAGTGTGCATCAGTTGCAAAGATTAAAGAATAGTCGATGCAGAACAGTCCTCAAACATAATTTATCTTTTCTTTCAGTAAATTTTATAACATTTTGAAGCGCTTGATCACTGTGCTTTTTCAAGCTGTACACTGCAGAACTACCTTCAAGAAGTGGTAGCCAAGCCAAAAAACAGCGTGATCGTATTCATAAACAACGCTGCCAGTTTCGCGAAAGTAAGTAATTTGAAAAAGGGAGTACGGTAATGACAACTGACTGATGACTGACTTCCTCCTTGATTTCAAGATCTGCGCTTTACAAAACTGCTAAATTTAGCGAAATTTCGCACTGCTTCTGAACCACTCCTCTTCTTTATTATTACATAAATAAAGCTGAAGTTTGTCAGTGCGAGTATGCTCTCTGTAGATTTGGTCCGAATAGAAAATTCGTTTCTAACCGATCCAGACCAAACTCTGCACACATACACATTGAGGAAAGGCTGATGGCAGGCTACTTTTTGTTATTGATCGCTACCAATTGTGTCGACTGTTTGCAAACATCGAGTTACGGGGCCACATGGGGGAGGGAAGCTAGTGAGTTTGCTGATTACGAAAACGTTAAAGCTGGGGTAGGGAACTGTCAAGCGGGATAGAGCATGTTGTAAAGTGATAAGCAATCGTGATTTTTATCTGATTCATTGACAGGGCAGGACGAGCCGAATCTGGAAATTAGTTTGAAGCAAGTTACGGCGTCTTCCATACCCGCATCCTTTTGATTTTGTTGGATTATCTCGAAAAAGTCACCTCACATTCAGCTGCTCTCGAAACGGGAATGCAACAATACCTTCGCACTGAAGTACTGGCACGCCCCAAAAAAGTAACCTGAGGTACGCCCTCGTTCGCCGCAAGGCGGTTGTGCAGCCTTGAGGATTTCCTTTCTACTGGCCTAATATAGTCATTGGCCATGTGTTCCTAGCGTATTGTATGAGTATTGGACGAATTCGAAAAGCACAAGCGTACCCTGATCGGCAACGCGGCAGCGACGCGCAGTTTTCTCCGCCGAGCGCGACAGCAAGCACGAACTTAGTTTTTTTTAACGTTTTCTGAAGTTTCAGCCGCCGATCTTTGTACGCTTGTGTGTTCCCAATTCGCATTCAACAAGGCTTTCCGGACTCGATCAGCAACAAGCACTATTGTCACAAAGTGGAGCAATCACAGCTTTGTAATGTTGGTGTCCAAAATTTTCGGGTAGTCATGCGCACATAGATAGATGGTTTTGTGATTTCGTCTGCGAACCTCCAAGAAGCTTCCTCCCAGTCTGAAATTTCTCCGAAATATTACGCAGTGGAGAAGATCGTTACATCTGAGGCTCAAACGCCCACTAACGGATTTGTTCACGACAACATGTTACCTTTATTAATTTTTAAGAAGGACGCGCAGACTGAAAAAAGACACTGAATTGCGAAGTGCTTGCTCTATCCGCCGGTCAGCAAATTATGTTTGGGGTCCTAATAAGAATGAGAATTACCTAGTTGAAGTTGTACATGATGAAAACGTCGGATTGAGCCTCAGTGAGTGACTTCGAGGAGCGACCAAATCGAGAACATAATGCTAAAAAGAAAAAGGAAAAATATTTATGGTGATTTGTTTCTTTGCAAATCCACCCCTACCGCGTCTCGCAATGTCCTTTAGCATCAAATAATTTTTAATCGTCACAGTGAGCAGCCGGCGCTATTCGGCTATCCGGGCCTTTTTGTCATGGATTTCGCTCAAACTTGGCCCGAGGGGGTTATCTGACATGCTGATCACGAATATCACCTTCTCTCCGCAGGAAAACGCCTCCCTGCGGGGTTACGGTAGGTATACGGTAGAGGGTCACAGTCATAGATTTATCTGAAACTTGGCCCAGAGGGGTTATTCGGGCCGCTGATGCTGAATATCACATTGGTTTTGTACCGTAGCGTCACTTTCTCGGGTTACGGTGGGTATGCGGTAGGGGGTCAAAATCTCAGATTCTGCCGTAACTTCGCACAGAGGGGTTATTCGACATACTCATTAGAGATGTCACACTTTCTCCACACGAAAACGTCTCCCTGCATAGTTACGGTAGGTTTACGGTAGAGGTCAAACTCATAAATCGGCAAATGTATCTTTCCCCCGTGCTTTGCTTGGGCAAAAGCCGCAGCAGGGTGTGTAGCGCGCGGCGGTGGTTGTGTGCAGAGCTCACGATCGTCCGAATCGCCGTACACCCGTTTCAGGCAGGACTATGTTTTACACCCGTCACCGTGTAACTACCGTGACCCGAGAAAATGACGCTACGGTTCAAAACCAATGTGATATTTGGCATCAGCGGGCCGAATAACCCCTCTGTGCCTCGTTTCGGGCAAATCTATGATTTTGACCCTCTACCGTGTACCTACCGTAACCCTGCAGGGAGGCGTTTTCCTGCGGAGGAAAGGTCATACTCGTGATCAGATAACCCCCCTGGGCCAAGTTTCAGCCAAATCTGTGATTTTGACCCCCTACCGTGTACCTACCATAACCCTGCAGGGAGGCGTTTTCCTGTGGAGAAAAGATGATATTCGTGATCAGTATGGTAGATAACCCCTCAGGGCCGAGTTTGATCGAAATCCACGACAAAAAAATTTTGGGGCCCGGATAGCCGAATAGCGCCGCAGTTATGTATATACAAAGGCGTGCCATGTCGAAGTAGCTGAATGGTAACCTTCAGAAATAGTCCACTCTGAACAGAGACCTGATGCGAATACTTCGGTGAGCTTCTGCGGAGGCCTTCAAGCACAACCGCCGCGATTCTTGTTTCACGGATAATGAGCGGCTATTCAGTAACTTCACACCCCAGTAGCTGATCTGACTTCATCATAAAAATCCTTACAGTTTCAAGCCTCGAAGTACATATTTTGCGCAAATTATATTTGTAGTAGTGCAGGACCACAATTGGTTTCTAACGAACTCCAGCTTTTGGTGAAGACTACACCCAAAAACCAATTCGAACTTTTCTGCTTTCTACACTTACAAACAGGTGAGACCAGAATTGGCAATAAGTTTGCAAAAAAGCCGTAACTTCATCAATAACGCTATCGATAGATATTTTTCTCGCTTCTTGGTAATGTTAACTGAGTCTATAAATTAGGGCTGAAAAGGATACTTTATCGATGAACAATCAGCATGTATAACTCCTCTAAGCGTTTTACTTTTCTTTCCACCCTTGTCGTACATCTCGATACTTGACTTTACTGATATTACACTTTACTGTGGAACTTCACCGGTACGCTAAACACAAATAGTGCATGCAAAGAAGTCACAAAAAAGCAAGCGTTCCAGTTCTGCCCTTCATACATGCTCCAATAATCGTGCGCTTGAAAGTCGGGACGAATTCGAAGCAGAAAAGCGTACAAAGATTGGCGTTTGAAACTTCAACGTAAAAAAACCAAGTTCGTGCTCGCTGTCGCGCTCGGCGGAGAAAACTGCGCGTCGCTGCCGCGTTGCCGATCAGGGTACGCTTGTGCGTTTCGAATTAGTCTGAGTATTGTGTTGGTTGTAATGGTGATGAATTGGGCACCCTTGTATAACGTTATTGATTGAATTGGTGAGTCACAGGCTCATTCGTAGCTTCACTCATATTTCGTAACTTGTGGTCATTATAACCAATGTGTTCAAGTTCGGAGCAACTAGAAGACGGCCGATGCTAAATAAGTCCTAGGTTGTAATAAGCTCCAGGTGCCAATAATGCAAGTGTCGCGAGTATAATGGCTACTAGGTGGGCTGGTAGTATAGGGCCTCTCATTTACATTATTTGTTTTTTGCCAGGCCATGACAGCATGGCGCGAGCAGTGCTACCATTATACACTGATGTTGTCCCGCTTCACGGTGCCACAGCTCCTGCACGCACGCTGGAGAGCTTCAATTACTACTAGAGGTGGCGCATAATCCGCTTCACCGTGTGCTATGCTCATTTTGAAAGGTTGAGAGGAAATGGTATTAGTGGATAGAGGACGATGAAAAACTGAACTTTACATTTTTAGGAATGTGTTTGAATAGTCATCAAAACCGGTAAACAGATGCCAATTTTTGCGTGGTGTTATTGACTTTACCATCCACTAAAACTGATGCACATCATTATTGCACGTAAAGTGAACCTCCATAAGGAGAGGTTTGGGAATGGAAAAGCTCAGGAACTATTTGTGTGAGAGCCGTACAAATACTGTACTTAATTAGAAAACTTTCCAATTACTAACAAAACGGACGATTTCGATTTCGAAGTTATTAGATTTTGTCACAGAAGCTCATGTACTAGGTCGTTTCGAAAGTAATTTCGCTTTATTGGAATAAACGCCACATTTCGTGGAACAAACATTTTCAAGAGATCGTGACAGCAATCGTTACAACATTTAATCTCCTTTTGAATGGCTGTGAACTCTTTGCAGCACAGTCGATGAGCTGTCGGAAATTCACCACAATTTGCGACCCATGGTTTTTTGCATAGTCAAATATCGCTATTTTTTAAATTTTTGTACTGCTTCCCGAAGAAGTCCGGGTAACGTGTGGATGAAGCCAACCCTACGCAAAACAATTTTCCCGTTTTAGCTAGCATCTTATTGTTAGTATTTTTGAAATAATTTCTCTGATGCTATCAAAACTCATATTTGATTAACTCGAACCTCATGGACATCGACTTCAATGCAGTTTTCTCTCCTCTTTGTAACGGGTGTTTTTTGTCTCTGATTTGTCAAGTCTTTGGGGGAAAATCGAAACTCATGTTTTTGAACATGCCTCAGGTTCTGCTTGGAAAATTCAAGATTCGATTTGATTTTTCAAATCTTTAATCGTCATTTGCTGTGTTTAATTAGTGTTAAAACATAATCCACTTTTGAAGTTTTATATTCGGATAATTTACTGTGTTCGACGTGTTTGTGTCCGAGATAGACCTGCTAAAGTTTGGTGGTTTTGTTGAAAATTTTCTCAAAAAAAAATTGTAACAAGCTATGGAAGGAGAGAAAAATTGTTTTGTATCCTGTAGGATTTGCTCTATCCATACGTTACTTTTGCTCCTGCGAGTTATTGGATCAATAAAGCCATTACGTATAAGTACAGTTATTTGGAATAATTTGAAAACAGCAAACAGTTAATTAAGTTCATTATGGAAAGATAGCAAATCGATCTTACAAGGGATGGATACTTGGTCTCGAAGTGGCGTTTCCATACAAAATGTATGTTATTTTATGGCGCAAGGAATGCTGATTTCAAACCTTCTTTCGGTATCTGCAAAGCGCTTTTGGAAAGGAAGTTATGGGAATTTTTTGATGCAAAAATTTGAAAGCGCCGCTACGATGAAATCATTCAAAACCTTAGTACGTGAGCTGAAATGGGGCCATGATTACTACAGGGCATTTCAAAATATAACCTTCAATTTAATAAACTCATGTCAGTCATTACTCCTTTCAAGCGCCGGAGGGACCTCAATACCTATTTCTATCTTAGCTAAATCAATGAATTTTTATTTCAAAAAATTCGCACAACTTCCTTTTTGAAAGCGCTTGGCAGATACAGGAAGCAGAGTTGGAATCAGCGTTTTATGCTCTATAAGATAGTATACATCTCGTATGAAAACGCCACTTCGAGCAAGTATCCTTCCCTTTTTAGTTCTGATCAGCAACCTGATCTACTCCCTCCTTCCTCCTATATATACCCCTTCTATAAATACAGTCCTATTCTCAAAACCGTTATTGTTGTTTCCACCCTCCCAGCCTCGGATGTGGTTAATCTTTATTCACCTGTCTAGAAGTAAGAGGCGAAACAGGAGTTTTTCCTTGAAGAAAAAACTATTTTCATCTGTATTTACTAACCTCCAAGAGTCCGGCGTTTATGTCATTTGCAAATTTTTTGCGAAGTCCTTTTGTGCGAAGCCGAATGTATTTTCGATTATCGGTAGCAAACATTACTAGAAACACGATGTTTTCCCTGAAAACATAAAGAAGTTGGATATCAAGCAGAAACTACTGCATACTTGTATTTATCACCGAGAAGAGAGAACAAAGACGAAAGCGTGTCGTCGATGTTGTCACTGCTCCGCTCAAACACCGGGATGCCAACCATCTGTAGAATAATAAGTTTGAGTGGCATTCCCTATTAACAGAGTGATACCTACCAATTTCTTTCGTATTTGAGCTCTTGGAGTCAGAAGAACCGCATTTAGTTCCTTCGCAGATACATTGCGCAAGTTGGGAAAGAACTCAAGCAGACCAGACCACGAGAGGGATTCCTAGAAAATTGAATGGTATATAAAGTTGAGTACAATAAAAATAAAAAAAAAACGCAAATCAATATCTCATTTGCAACTTATGCGAAAAAGATTTGGCAGTCTACAACAACGCCCTAGTATTTTTGCTTGTAAGAGATGGTTACCCTATGTATCTGCCTCAGAAATACTTTTTGTACTCACTTGAATGCCTAAAAATTTCCGCGTTACCGTAACCGAGCTCAAATGTCTACAGTTTTTTGATTTAGTATTTATGAATACTTTGATTTTTATTTCAAAGCGTTTTAAAAATCTCAGCAGTTTTACAGACAAACGCATGTCGTAATCCTCATGTCCGCTCAAACTGAAAAAACTCATTTCGAACGGTTGCTGTATACCAGTGGCGCCAATGCCAAATCAAATAAAAAGCAAATAAGTGGAATGGTATAATCGTTAACGCTGGATTAACAGTCACCAAATCCATTGTAAATATCGCCGGTTGAAGTGGAGATACAGCTCCAAGTATTGTACAAGATCCCCTACTTATTCGACTGACAATGAGCTATAAAGCATCGAAACCTAAAAGCATAGTAGCAGAAGCATAGTAATTATGGATCTGTTCAAATGAAGTTAGATTTCATGGTAATTACCTGGACACGCTGGAAAAATAAGTGTGGAAAAACCGAAGTGTTAATGAAGAACATTACATGCGTATCACAGTGCTAAAATGGCATTTTCGATGTCTCCCTACACAAATGAGGATTGATGCTCCACATCATGAAAACAGTACTTTTGCAAAATCTTGAGTGTTGACAGGCTTAGTACTTCGTCAAGAGTAAACGGAATGAAGGCTTTTTGATTAGACACTATAAGAAGGGAAAGCTAAGAAAACATACGCTAGTTTTCATTGAGAATATGATATAATGTAGGCGCTATGAACAGATAAAGAAAACTTGATAAGGTGAGTACTTTGTTTCAGTCTGCCCAGTTATATTCAAGTTCGAGAATGAGTTTTAGATAAAGAACTCCTAGTTTATGCAGTTATGCAAGTCCATGTTTTTTTCTGGATCTCTACCCACTGCTCAATGATTTTGCACGGAGTTTTCAAACACAATTCGCTTCACCCCAAGGTTTGCGCAAAAAGCCATGAAAAATTCTAGAGCTTTATACATCAAAAAGCCTCCCTGCCCTCCATCAAAAAGCCAGTCAAAACCCATCAAAAACAGTCGCTGTCCCCAAATGGAAACCTAAAAAGCTTGCTTAGTACCAATAAAGAGAACTATCAGTGGCTATTGGGCTCGTTTCGTAGCACAGGGAAGACGGATCGATGATCTATGAATAACGTTAGTGCAGAACTAGCTTGCAGCGTAGCAATTGTCAGTACCATAATGTTATGCCTGATGACAGCATTTGGTCTTCTTGCGAAGTTTCACAAACCATGTGCTCTAGAACTATGGATCGGTGTGTCGCAAACAATGTTGGCACCATGTTGATTATGCACGCCCTAACTGCTGAAAGCGCATCATGCCTAAAAACCCTAATAACTTCACACCTTCAATCGCTCATATCTTCTTTCGAAGAATCGCGTAACAGATTTGGAAGGTAGATCCGGTCAGCTCAGCAGGGTATAATGATATGCATTTCGTTTTAGATTGCCACGGTGACTTGGGATCCTTCGCTTGTGTGCAATCTCAGAAACTTTAGCTTCTAGCATGTGGCCGATATTGGTAAGATGTTGTTCTTTCATAGCAGTTGTGCAAAATTCGCAGCAATGCCTGTTGGCCACTTCATAGTTTTATTCCTCTTGACGGATCTCACAAAAAAATGGAGTTTCAAATACTCAAAATCAGAATTCACAAGTTCAAAGAAAGCAGAAAAAAACAGCTTCACATTACCTTTGTAGCGTTTATGCTTTGTGGAGTGAGATCGGGCACATACAGGAGCTCCGGATCAATGGATGTAAAATTGACAATTTGAACACTCTAAACGTATTCATCTTAGGCAAAGATGTCTTGTGAATTATAGTACCTCTCGCACTGTAAAGAAAATTTTGAAATAATCCTGTAACTCTCGGAATCTGGAAATAGCTCCTTCGTAATAGCAGATGTAGATCAACAGGTAGATGTTGAGTGCTGAAGCGAATAACGCGATAATAGCCAACAAAGGGGAGCTCTCCATCAATGGTATCTGAAATTGGATGCAAATTGATTCATGAGATTCTCAAAACAGAAATATTAGGCGACACGTGTTTGATGGCCTATATTCGGGCCTATGTCGAGCCGTATCATAATGAATCTGTGCATGACTGCACCTCGAGTTAGCCCAATCAGATTTTCAACGCACATGTTGATTAGCATAAGCACAAATTCCACAAGATGTTTGAAAATTGTCTCGGAGTGGTTAGATACCATAAAACAAAGCTCTCATCAACTTTTCAATGATTGAAAGAAGGTGGAAATTAAAAAGCAAAAATCATTTCGGAAACACGGAGCAAATAGAGCCATCAGCTGGACAGCCATACGTGCGTTGAAGTACAAGCTCACCTCACAAATGCACTTGTTGTAGGTTCAGCGCAGCTGCTTAAGCACAAAGAACAGCGTTTTAAGGGTCTTTGTGTAGGTTAGAGTTTTTGTTGGTTTCAAGAGTTGAAGCAGGTGTGCCACTGAAGTACTTGAGATCTGCGTTTAAGCTGTACCCTTGAAGGCGTTTATCTGGTTCTTTCTCTAATTTCCAATGTGATTTGCTTGCACAGAGACACGATCGATGTTTGGACCAGTTTAGGTGTGCATTAAGTTGTTTCTTCGCTTTCGTGACACCAAATACGTCGATAAAATGGAAAATGTGACATGCCGACACTGTGCAAAGCATCTTCCCCTTTCCTCTCTGAATCACCGCTCTTGAAACAAAGTCTCAAACTATAAATACATTACAGTACTGAATCACAGCTTGACTCTTGATTCGCTCGCATCCTTTCAAAGCGCTTAGTCTAAGTGATCAATGAGACAGCATGATTTACAAACTTAAGTAGACATAAATTGAATAAACAAATAACTGCAAAGACACATTATTTGATTGTTCATAGAAATCGTTTTGGCCGGCAACGTCCCATCCACGCATTGCCGGCTGGATCAACCTCGGAAAACGACAGGGCACTGTCTCGTCAGGTGGAGACACGCGCCGGGGACTGTAAATCGTCATTTCACGTGTATGGAGCTATTAAGGATTTTTGTCAAACTGCTAGGGCATCCCCTAGAGGTAACGCCATTGCTCGCAAGGCGAGAATAGTGAGCTAAGGCTACCTGCCCCTGGACGAGGCAGGCCAAAGAAGCGAGCCAGGAAGTTCGACTAGCGACGATTAAGATAGGAACATTAACGAGCAGCAGTCGAGAGCTATTCGATAGATTGAGGGAGCGACACACCGACATCGTATGTGTACAAAAACAAAATGGAAGGGAAGGCAGGTCAAGGGAGGGGCCCGCTCTTACTACACCGGAGATAGCAGTCGACAGAACGGAGTTGCGATCATCGTCAGGTTAAATACCGCGAGTCAGTAGCCGAAGTAACGCGGATTTCAGACAGGCTGAAGGCAGTGAAGATCGAGGCAGATGACGTCACGTTCCGAGTAGTGTCGTGCTACGCCCCGCATTTTACATGCGCCGAAGCTGACAAAGACATGTTTTGGAAGGACAAGGACTTCGGTGCCCTACTAATTGTAAGAACATTCGATGGCGCAGACTATATCTTCGTAAGAGGCGATCTCAACGGGCACATTAGCCACGCATACGATATACTTAAGCGATACCAGGCACGCTGCAATTGGATACGGTCAGAGGAACGAGGGCGGAGGACGCATCCTGGAAACCGCAGAAGCACACGGTTTGGCATCGCGAACGCATTTATCAAAAAAGCGGGAATCGCATTGTCACGTATGCGAGTGGAAACCGCTCATTTCAGATCGACTACTGGATGCTGCACCGACGTCACTTGCCGATGGTGAATAACACGAAGGTCATACCTACAGCGATACATACATTTGCGCCACAACATCGATTGCTCGTGGATCCTCGAATGAACATCCACTTGCATCTACGAGCCAGAAGGATGATGACAAAGGAGATAAAATTGTAGTTTTTTGAACATTGCCAGCAACTCAGAAAAGCTCTTAACGCTTTGGACTGGGGATCAAGAATCGATCGAAGACTAGTGGAATTGAATTACTTCGCAGATACGATCAAGAGCCGAGAGGATTTTGTGAACCACTCAGCCAGGATGCCGGTTTGCCGACAAGCCGATCAGGTGGTGATCTGAGCTAGTCCAGTAAGTAATTAAGGAGAAGAAAGAAGCTTTCAGAACCTAACAGCGCTCTCACGAAACCGAGGATTTCCGTCAGTATCGAGAATTAAACCGGAAAGCGAAGCATGCGGTAGCCCAAAGGAGGCGCACTACAAGAAACTCTACGACAAGATGGAACCTTTTGGAGCTAACAAGGTCTACCAAGTAGCGCGCTGCACGACATTAAGCGAAGCAAGTCATCGACCACGTCATGCACATTAAAGACGCAGAGGGCAATCTCCTTACGAATCCGAGCGCAATTCTCAAGGTTGAGCGAATGCTACGAGGTCTATGTAATGAGGAGTTTCCGCGCCCGCCAGTACCGCAAGGAACGTCCACATTTGCACCGGTAACGCGAAGTCCAGCGGTAAAGTCCCGGGAACTGACGATAGCTGCTGAAGTATGGAAGGTGCTGGGACGGCGTCGAGTGGCATACTTTACACCACTTTTCAACAAAATTATCATCGACGGGCAGGTTCCGCGAATCTGGCCTACGGGTGTCACAGTCCACATCTACAAGAACAAGGGCGATGTCAGCGATTGTTCAACATATTGACAGATGCGCTTGCTGTGCCAAACGATGTAGATCCTCGAGTGAGTATCGACAGCATCCGAAGTAGCATGGAATTTTTAAATCAATGCGGTTTTGTGAAAGGACCTCTCGTCAACGCCATTCATGACGTACATTACTAATGGAACGTCACTTAGAAATGAGATCTCAGCTTTATTTCGCATTCTTGGATTTAGAAAAGGCATTCGATCGCATACCACGCGGGTTGATCTGGTATGCACAGGGACAACACGAGTTCCAGAAGAGTACCCGCTAAATCAAACTTATTTATGCGAAACAACGGGTGCCGTATGTTGTGCAGCGTCAGCGCCATCCCAATTCAATCGGCTCTATCACCACTTTTCTTTATACTCTACATGAATACGGCTACCAGGGATATTAAACTGTCGCACTCGTGGACGCTCTTCTACAGGATGACGTCGAGCTAGCAAGGCGAGGCAGGAGCTCGAAGAGGCAACCGTGAGATGGAAGGCACGACTAGCCGAATACGGCCTGCGACTGAACACAGGGAAAAACCGAGTACTTGGAATGTGGACAGCGCAATCACCATCGATGGGCAGCCACTGAAAAAGGTCACATTCAAATACCTGGACTCCCGAGTGACGTCGGGCTGCGAAACGATCACTGATGCTTGTGCTAGGACAAACGCTGCGTTGCTGAAGTACAAGCAACAGGAGTACTCTGCCACCGTCGAATTCCAACGTATCTCAAATGGAAAGTATATCGATTTGTGGTACGGTCAGTCGCCTTGTACGGAGTCGAATGTTGGCTAGCAACCAGGGAACACGAGCACCATGGAGTCCCAAATGATAAGATTTTACTCGGCCTACCGCGTTTTAATAACAGAGTTTCATTGTTGGGTTCAAAAAGGGTGGTCAAGATTTTCTTGCTTCATTTGTCTGCAAAAATTGAAATATTTAGTTGAATACAAATTCAGATCACTATTTGAGTTGCTCCATAGCACAAAGCTGAGGCTACATGGCCATCACTATGTTCTCGACTTACAAGCAGTGGCGGACCGAGGGGGGGGGCGAGGGGGGGGGGGCGCGCCCCCCTCCCCCCCGAGAATGGGTCGCGAAATTTTTGAAACTTACCTATATGGGTTGTAAAAATGTGCAAACGACTTGTTTGCACTTGAAAATAATTAAGATAATTTTTAGAAATTTTTAAAAATTCATTTTAGCCTTACAAAAAATTTTTTTCTGGGGCGTGGCTGACGCCACGCCCCCTTTTTTCAGACTTTAGGGGTCGGGGACCCGCAAAAATTTTAAGAAGCACCCCAAAAATTTTTTAGGAGTGCGTGGCTAACGCCACGCACCTTCTTTAGAAAAAAATTTTTGTCGCCCCCCCCCCCCCCCCGAAAAAAATTTCTCGGACCGCCACTGCTTACAAGGGAAGAATTTTCAGCCAAAGTGGTCTTTTGAAATGGCATGCACACAGAGGGCCAGCACGAGGGTGGCAAGTAGGCAGTTATTTTGCTGTGACGTACCGCGGAGAAAGTAGGTCGATCCAGGGAATAACCGCCGAGAACCAGAATTTTGAATAATAAAGTAACGAAAACTCATGCGAAATTTCCACTGTTACAAATCTGGTGTTTGAAGACGTCAGCGATTGCGAAAACATAGGTTTTGAAGAGTAAATGGTGCTCTATCAGTGAAAAAATCGAGTTGATTTGAGAGACAACCGCCGAAAACCAGAATTCTAAATAATTACGCCTTTAGCGTGTTTAATGAAAGCTGACAGTTAAACTCATATAAATCTTGAATGTGGAAGTGCGTGATCTTGTGATAGACTTTGTAGAGTAAGGCCTGCCTTATCAGAATACATCTTAGCCGTACCGATCTACTGAAACAGCGTTGAAATCCAGAGTCTTGAAAAAGCAGGTAAAAAAGCATTTTTTGAAATTTAGCAGCTTATAACTTCTTAAGATCTGCATGAATCATGCTGCGACTTCATAGGTTAGATTCTTCTCATTCCTGGCGGTCTCCGTTCATTACATTGAAGTGGGCTGGGGGGGGGGGAGAGCCCTAAATTCCCACATATATATCATCTAAAAGCTCTTGATGAGAAAAATTTAATTTACTTCCAAATACACCATTTACTAAACACGTTTATTTCAAATATATATATGCCGATACATAAAAATATGCTTTCAATAATCTTTTTTGCGTTTTTTGCTTATTTTCCGCGCACTGACGGCAACGACCTGAAAGGATAGGCTCAGTCGACGTTGACGCCCCTCCCCGCCCCCCTCGACGTTTTAGGGAAGTGAGTGTCCGGCACTAACACCTTCACTTTTGGCCGGCCAGTGGTAGCTGGGACCACCTTCACTTTTGGTGGGCCCGGCTCCCCCATCGCACCTCTAAACTCGACTCTTAAAGTCCTAAGGTAAACGTAAAACGATGGGAACGAGGGAAAATAAGAACAAAGCGAAACTTATTTAAAACTAACTCACGACGAAATCCATATCGTTCTCCTCATGATCATGAATACGAGCAACTGGACGCTTTGCAGCTACCGTGGCTGTCATCCCTAAAAGCAAATCAAATGAGTAATGACGGTAGGACAGACGATGGCGAAGACGAGAAATGAGGCAAGAGACTTGACGAAATATCAAAGCAACGCCGATTATAGAACTCAAAGACGCCGATATCTATTAAATCGCGCTTTCATCTTTGGGAAATGAGGATATTGCTATTTTCGCTATAACAAAGAGAAGAGAAGGAGTTCGAAACCGAAATGTTACTACATACTAAGTTTTGGGTGTAGAACAGATTTATGTAAAAATTTTGAAAAACATATGGATTGGAAGTTTTGCCTACCTCAGGTGGGCAATAGGTGCGCAGTTGTCCACCTAATTTGGGGAAAAGTTGGGCACGCTGTTCATTCACATGAGTTTTCATAATTTTTCATACTTTGTTCCTTGAACCTACCGCGCGTATACATACCAAATCTCGCGCAAATTCGTCATCTCACCGTTGCAAACGAGCCATTTTTCCGTTTTTTTGGTAGTGGGAAATTTCCAACAAAAAACTTGCCACAGCCTTCAACCGCATAAGATTTCAATTATACTTTTCAATTGGCCTCTGCAGGCGGTATTCATGTACGTACCAAGCTTCATACCATATCGTCATGTGTGCGTTGCAAGCGAGCTATTCAGAGTCATATCCTCATACACCATTATGCTAAATTAAAAAAAATGCTTATCACACCTTCCACTCATAATTTTTCATAATTCTTCATACTTTGTTTCCACTAGCTTCTCTTCGTTCGCTTACAAAATTTGGTGCCTTATCGTTACGCATACATGGAAAACAAGTAACGTATGCTGTTAGAAATAGCATGGATTAGGCGACGCCACGCGTGAGGCAATTAGCGACGGCGGAATTTGACGCGCGCAAGCTCCGGTATTCTTTCGTTGATGCACTTAACATGGGCTTCGCCCTGGACCCTGCAAATTTTCCCTTTGTCTTTCCACCCAAAACGACACTCAACCCGTCATTTGCCCACCACATGCCGGGCCCTGACATAGTGTGAGCGGCAGCGACATATCTTGTGTGTACTAAATTTCAAACTGTCGGAGTAGGTGCACCAAGATTCCACAAAATCTCGAAATCTACGGCAAGTTGTAAAATTCTGTAAGAGAAAACTACATTATAAGCAGAAGGATCAAAACTATTTCCAACATGAAAAAAAATGAGAAAGTTCTTTGGTGAATTGTCTGAACCAAGCTGTACGATGCAAATTATAAACAGTATACTATTACTTTGATTGCAAAAATTTTGGTTTCAGAAAGTGGAGCTCGCTTCCATTATGCTTAGATGCGCTAATCAAATTGCAAGCGCAGTAATTCTGCTGCGCGCTCCTTGGCATGCAGCACACAAGTCCTGTTTTATCAATTTTATCAATTTGGAAAAAAGAAGCTCTTTTTGCTAACAAAATCAGTTTCATATTTGGTGATCTGGGCTTGTTAGGATAGAAATCAACTGCATTTATTTATTGGATTGAAACACAATCGCAAATTGAGCAAGTAGTAATACCTGATTTTTGGTGCCATATTGTTTCTAATAATCTGCAAAAATAAAGGCACCAGGCAAGGCTTTCTGTTGCAAATAAAGCACTCTTATCCAAAGATGCATGCTCACTTTTAAAAACATTAAATTCTTGGACTTTCACAGTCAGTAAGTTCATGTGGTTGCGCAGTATCGTAGGCAGTTGCAATGAGTTCAGGGTTGTGATGCAAGGCAAATGAGGAACGGCGCGAAAAAGATCGGAGAGAAGCGGCATTGACTTTACTACTTAACATTCCTTAACGATTGCTTTTTAAGCGGCAGAGTGTAGTGGATTTAAAATATCGCATTTCTGCAGCATCAACAATTTCCTTTTTTCTATTTTTCGTTCGCGGAATTTCTCTAGCAGACGAATAGTGTCCTTAAGGCCTGGCAAATGGTCTATGCCACTTATGGTATTGCTGCAATGTCGGAGATATGAAAAACTGTTTGCGAGGAGAAGTAGGGAGTTTGCGGTATCCATATGTGATTCAGACGTGATCAAACAGAAATATCTAATGCACAACACTGTATATCACCTATGCGCCGTCGACTTCGCCAAGCAATGCCACTGTTTACGACATTGGATATAGCACCCTTGGCAGGGCCTAGAGCATCGTCAAACGCCTCAAAAGCGATTTGCCTATCTGTTTCTTCTTTACACACTTGATAAAACCCCACAAACCTCACTGCAGGGGTAGCTTCTAATAATAACTCCGCGATTACAAAGTCAGACTAATAATCAGCAGCGTTTAGCAGGATTGCCCGTCTCAACATCATGCTAGCTCAGAGCATTTGTTCTGCAAAAGTGAACAATGCAAACTTTCTTCGCAGTGCGCACATAACCTCTGCCTGCACGGTAAAATAATATGTGATACTATTCTAGAAGAACTGCAAATAATGCAAGTTGTTTACAAATTGCTATTGCAGCGCCAACATTTTTCTAGCCTGTACAGCTTTAGCATAACGGCGCTAGAATTCTTTTTAAAGAAATGTTTGAACTGTTTCTTACAGGGAAGCTACCTAACTTAGCTTGGCCTTTTGGCAAGGGACGTATATAGCCTGCATCAGCTTCAAACGCTGATTCCAAACATGCCCTGCGCAGAAATTGGCATGGTCATCGACTCACGGGCATCACGTCATCATTTAAGTGCTGATACACTTGCGTTAAGCTTTTTTTTAGTGAGAAAAGATTAGATTTGTACTACTTCGATACCTCAGCATCTTTTTCTTGCAGATTTTTATTTACAGGCAGTCCTCTCATGTTCAGTAGTATGCCAATTTTGCGTAGGAAAAAAGCCCATAACTCGCTTCGGAATGGTGCATGGCAGCTAGGAATAGCATATTTGGAATCAGCGTTTGAAGCTGATTCAGAATATATACGTCTTTTACCAAAAGGCAGAGCTAAGTTAGGTAGCCTTCCTTATTAGTTTGCTGGTGCTGCTTGAGACACATGAAGGTCGGTAAAGAAGAACATAGCTGGTGAAAATGCACATTGGTGTTTTTGTACAGCTTTTCGCTAATTTTATGTCCAGTAAGTGACGATTTGAACTTTTAAACGCTCAAAACTTTTTTGAAATTGTTCCGCAACAAAGAAAAGCGGGTCTGGGATCAGTATTTCAAGACGCGAATAGCGATGTACATTTTGTCACCAATCGCCAACATAAGCTGGTCCCTCTTTTATAAAGCGAGTCCTGTCTCTTCGTAGATTAATAATACTTCGGCTTTCGTACAAGACATGGATTGGAGATTATCCTGCGCTTTAATGATGGCGTCTGAGAAACTATTCCGCTGCTACATTACTTTCCACATTCTGTCGATGACGATAAAGCACGTTGGCCTCGTTGAATAAGAAGTTTTTAACATCTTTGTTGCTGCTTGAGAATGCGATACAACATTGCATGAGACTTTTATAAAGGAGATATTAAGTTGGGAAGAAAGAAATGTCGTTTTTTACTGCAAAGCAAGGACGAATCAGAAAAATATGTGATGGGCGTTCGATAGAGCAAAGCAAGCTCTACAAGATGATATCTGAGCATTGGCTTGAGTCGTGCTTTACTCAAAGTTCAAAGCCAAAACATGAGAGCAACACATAGTGCCGAAAATTGGATTTTTGTTCTAAAATACCACAGCCTCTAATTTGCTCCAGCATGTAGCAGATACATTCACTCATCCATCTGTGCACTTGCCATATTTTTTCGCGACTAGTGAACCAGCAGTCTAAAGGTGCTATTGGCAAAAGCATTCGTTTCGAGACCGCGCCGCAGTTTCCCGCTCTGTGCACATTTTTGAATTGCGCTTACGATTCTTTATGTATTAGATTAGAAATCGAAAAAAATTGAAACTGAATAGTGAAACTCCGCCCTTAGTAGTCTTGGGCTCCACTCATATAGGCAATAGTGTAATAAAACTGCGAGACTTTGATCATGAAATTTGGGCTTTCGACATGTTCTAGTTCCTGAGAAATATCAATTTTGGTTTAGAAAAAACGAAGAAAGCGACCTTTTTTTTATTGCAACCCAATAAAGTGAGCGTTTCTGACTCAAAAAAGCATTTTAACGAGTAAAAGTTGAGACGATTTTGGAAAAAGAATTTGATAGTTGCTATACAGCACTGATCAAAATTACAAATCCACCTTGAAAATAACAGTACATCATTTTTAGTCAAAGTGTCTTTGTTGATCAAAGTGTTTGATGTTTCTCTATGTTCTGCACATGCCACACCATCATTACTCAAAGTATTTCCATATTGTTGAAGTTAAATGGAGAAAAAAAAGAGAATTTGGCGCTAAGCCTTAGTGAAGGCTGGACGCAATTATGGGTTCATTACTTTTTCAACCACTACTGCATTCCCCACCTCTTTAATTTTGTAAGTCACGTCTTAAAGAATAAAAGCCTTGCAAAACCCGAGAACTATCGCTTTTATTCTGTGTTTTTTAATCTTGAATGCTGTGAAAGTTAATCCGTATCAAAAAACAGCTGATTTGATTAGTTCTATGTATTTGTCTAATGCAAAAGCCTTGAGATCGTCTGCTTTTCGAGAAATGAGATGAAAGGATTTCGTTTCCGATTTGTATAAGGAAACTTCCGCATTGTATTCTTAGCCAGTTCCGAAAGGATGCACTGCAATAATACGACACCTTGCAAAGGATTTGAAAGAGCACTCTGCGTCAACACTGTGCTTTTCGTCATACTGTTGAGAGCAAGTACCGTTACCCAGTAACTGTGCTAGAATGTTCTTGATGTTCCAAAGGTTAAACGATTTGCAAGATACGAAGAGCTATTCGTCAGCAAAGCAAGCAACTGACAAAGTCAACAAGTATGTCTAACTTCTCACCGACTGATGCACTAATTTTTCTCCTAATCTGCTTTTGTACTGTTTGCACTTCTGCACTAGCTTATATGTAAGCTGCAATTTCGAAGAAAAAGTAACAAAAGTTAATCGGTATGCAAACCGCTAAGGTTTCAGGGTCCAGTATAAATATGTCCGGGATGTGGCGCAGCAAAGTATCTTGCCACTTTCCTCCATTTCATAGCTTCTCATACATCAAAAAAGCTCTCGAAGGTTTTAGTAAATTAGTGTTACTTTCCCGAGGGCGCCCATTACTTGTGGGTATCAAGTAGAAATTGCCGCGACGCGGCGTTACAGTAACCTCCAGAGGCACCGTGGCCAGAGAAAATGTCTCAGAGGAAATGCTTAGGGGGTCACGTTAGTGTTGTAAACAAAAAAGTACATATTCTGTCATGAGATAAATGGTAATTTTCATAATTCCATTCACTATTTATCTCATTTTTAAAAGATTTGGGGCCAAAATTCCATTAAAGAGTGAAATTTGATATGGTAGTGTGAAAACAATTACGATGGAATAACATGCCTTGCGAGTTGGAGACCCGAGCTTTCCTCACAACTGATTACTGCCAGCCTGTCGCGTGCGGCGCCTGCGTAATTGACAGTCACAAGTAATGGGATACTTTCCGAAGTAAGATGGAATAGAAGATTTTAATTAGTTTCTCGTTTATTTATGGTAGTTGTCGACTCTAATCTTTCACCAATACGGTTGCAGTGAGTAAAGGGTTAGGTTTTTTTTTCTCTTCAATATCTGCATCATTATCTCACAGGTGCAAAGAAAGCGCTCGAAAAAAGGAAGGTATTATCTCTCTCCAGACAAAAAACTAATGCGCTTAATTTGAGTCTAATTTTGATGTGCGCCATCTCTTTGTTTAGTGAAAAAAAAACCAGCTTTTTACTAAGCCACAGAAGTCACTAAATTCACATTCTTTGTGATTGATGGGGAGTATAAACACAACAGTAAATTCAACCCTATGCCCATCTTTGGCAAAATCCAATGCTTTGATAGATTTTAAATCACCATTTCAAATCACATTACTATAGCAGAGCATCAAAACTGACTCAGACTAACTCCCACCTGATTTGAATGGCGTAGACTCATGGTTATGCGTTTCTGCTCACTCATACCAATTTGTGTGTGGGTCAAGAATCAAAGTTGCCGTCTGTGGACTACCTCATCGTTTTATATTAAATAGGAAAGAAATGCAGATTGTTCTAGCAGTATTACTAAAAGTATTTGAGCTGCGCTGAGAAATTTACCGAATTTTATAATTCGAAAGTGAAACAAAAATTATTAGTGTAGCTGTCATAGAATATCTTTGTCTTGGTGACAATGAATTGTGGAATTATTTATAGCAGGTCTGTTTCCTCCGAACTTCTGAATTTTGAAAGTTTCTGAAGTTTAATCACTGTATAATCTGTGTGCAGCATCTGTACAGCATAATTGAATATTCAGTGCTTGCGTTGCATTAGCATTCAAAACATATAATAATGTTCAGCTCGCTTGATAAGATGAGGAAAGACAGCGAAAAGGACTTGTAGTAGTTGGCTGAATATCGAAGTTGAACGTGAACACAAGCGGTGAAAACCCTAAAAACACCAGCGTTTTGGTCTTAGCTTCTGCTAAGTTTTTTGGCAGATTAGAAAGACTCAAAGTGCGTTTGCCAAGCATCTCTTTCTTGTGCCTAAGCAAAATACTCGTTGACTTTGTTTCAATTAGCACAGCTCATTAAGAAGGAAAGGAAAGTAGGCTTGGTTTTTTAATATGAGATGGATACTGCCTTGAAGTGTACGAAACGCTGATTCCATATCTATCTTCCTCATCCACTGCGGATCTTCTGGTGAAGTGTTGCGAAAGTTTTCATGAGCAAAAATTTTCATGTGCAGCGCTAGGGCAAAATCAGTCGCAACAATTTGCTTATGGCTCGAATATCTCGAGTTACTCTTTGCAGGAAAATTCTTAGTTCAATCATATCCAGTTAAATGTGCTACTTTGAAACACTAAGAAAATCAAGACTGTTTTTAAACTGATCATGCATTGAATTTTCTCCATAAAACCTTCAAAACTCCTTGCTCAGCAGATAAGAAAGGTAGATTTGTAATTAGTGTTACCTTTCGGGCCAGTATACATCTCATACAAAAGGCCACTTCGACTAATCTTCTTTTTCTTTCAAAAAATAGAGCTGTTCGCTTCCTCCTAATTTACCCTCATTTCTAGCAAAACATTCTTTCAAATTAAGGTTGTACCATTTACCACATTTATCACGTATCAAATATCAGCTCTAAAAGGCGTGAAAAATATACAAACAATTTCATCTGATAGGTGAGCAGGAGACCAACAACAGGATGTTGAAGCTGCTAGTGCTCCTCGCTCTTGCCATGGCAATCCCTGCAGCGCGTAAGAATTGGGTTGATAGAATATATGAAAGATTATTTTTGAATGTTCAGCTTGCGCCATGGAAGACATACCTGGAGTAAGTAAGGCCAACATGGAAAGACTACGTCAAATAATGGATGTATGTCTGTCGATTGTTAGTTATAAATTTAGTTTGGTGAATACAAAACCTTGGTTCCCTACTGGAAATGAACGCTGTTCTAGCACAAAAGAAACAATCAAGATTAGAATGGCTTTCGTTGCAAAGTGCGCATGCTTGATCTCGATATTAATGTTAGTGAAAGTAATGGAAGCAAAGTGATTTGTGTATCATTCTAGCCTCGTCTCAGGATTGAAGAATGGGAGAACAGTTTACCGGAAGCAGAAAGGGTTAGTACAAAAATTTTTCATTCCTATCATCTAAAAAAGCACATTTCAGATTGCAGCTATAGCTCACAGAGAACGAATACAAGATAAACATCTTACTGGTAGGCTCGATCACGAACCATTCATGGCCTAATGTAAAAGAAAGACCACATGAATTAGCAAATTTTTGTAATATGTTTGAAGTTCTATCGTAAGTGACATTAAATACTTTGTTTAGTGTTCCTTCGAAGAGACATTCCCGGTGTGAGCAAAGCCAGTATGGATAGGCTTCGTCAGATATTGAACGTGAGTCTTCCAAAGATATTTCTAGTCTTAAAATGAAGCAATATGTTTGTGTTTTGAAGCAATAAGAGTGTAAGTAACAAAACAAATGTTAGTTTTAGCCAAGACCAGAAGGGCCGGGAGATTTCGAGCAGAAAATAAACGAATGGATAAACAGTCTTCCACCAGAGGACAAAGTACGTCACCATGCTACCAATTTCTTTTATCACGCAACATAAAAATCAGCGTTTTAGGCCGCGGCAGAAGCGCACCGGGCAGAAATGCATCAAAAACGTGGACCTCCTCCTCCTCCTCCGTTCTAAAACTACAGTTAAAATGACCCCCCCCCCCCCCGTCGCACCTCTGGGCCTGTAGTAAACCCCCGGATGTCGTGACTTATAGCTTGGAGTATGCTGTGACATGTGCTGACTATCATGGAGCGAGGCTGGCAGAGCGGCTATCCTTTATCATTGCCGGCGGATGCTATCGATGCGGAGCGCCAGGGTAGTCGCACTTAGTCGCACTATCTCGCGACATATCGCGACACATAGCGACACATTGCGACATGTCGTGACGAACGGGTGGAGGACTATATGTCGCCGAAATTGGAAGAGTCCCGCGCGGATTTCCTGCAGGAACGCATGTCCGCGCATGTTCAAGGGTGCGTATTTGTCGCAAATGACCGCGGGGACCGCCCTTTTTCGGCGACATATAGTCCTCCACCCGTGACGAACGAGACGGCGAAATACTTTGCCTATCATGGAGGCGCAGAAACATAGCGCAAGACTAGAGCTCGACTACGCCAACCTCGCAATAGGTCGCACATGCACAATGCCGTCAATACAGTAGGGAAAAAAGTAGAAATAACCAATTGTGCATGCGCAAAGCTCGTTTATCCAGCCCAATTTTTTTGTTCAGTTTTACATGCAGCGTTCTTAATGTTTTTCTTTCTTTCTATCATCATGTACTGTTACATTGCATCTTCGTTGTCGTTTATGAATGTAAAAACCTTCGATATTGTGCATTGGAGTGTTCCTCACACCACATGATTACCTTGTTGCCCGCTCTCTGGCTGATTTTTACAGAAGAGCAAAAATATGGGCAAGCTATATACCGTCTGATGAGGCTGAAAAAGCTCCATCAGCTAGTGTATAGCTTGCCCCACACTATTCACATATTTCAGCTATTAATGTTTGAAGCATTAGGCGTCATTCGGGTGACGTCTGTTTGTGCAGACACGCCGATTACGCGGCAGCTACCGGCGTCAGCCGAAAATGAACGGAAAGGTCATAAGGGATCATTTCGTTTGTTTTTTTTTCACATTTTTGTGTAATGCAGGTATTTTGCGGGGCAAGGGTAACTAAAAGACGGGCTTGACCCTAGCCCCTTGCTATTTCACGGGGCAGTCTCGTCAAATCGAGGCTTGAGACTACCCCGAGGCCCAGAAGGGCTCGTCTATGTCAAAAAGACGCACGTGGACACCCATTGGACCACCCTGTCATCTTTGAAGCAAAATTTTGAATTGCGTTTGCCCTAGCAATCCTATCGAGGGTGGAATGCTTATTGAGAAAGGAGTAGGGTAGTCCTGAGAGTACTTTGAATTAGTAAGTGAGAGTACTGTTTTTTGAATTAGTATGCATAGTTTCAGTATGCTACGCAGTTTCAGTACGCATATGTGCATAGCATTAACATTTGTTTAACAAACGGCTTGGATAAACAAATCTTGGAAATTTGCACTGATCTTGTTCTCCAAACTAACGGTACAGTTTGGAGTTTCACGCCCTCCTATTAGCGAGCAGTCGGCATATCCTTTTCAGATGCGTCTCTTCCATCCGAAACTTGCGCGCCAATATCCTCTGGTTCTGATGGAAAAGTCGGATAGGGTGCAGCCTGCCATAGCGGATATTGGCGCTCCCTCTTGCAGCACGGTGCGCAAAGATACGCATTATTCTGTAATAGACATAGATCAAATGCGCTACCCTAATAATGCATGCAAACATAAGATAACGAAAAAAATGGAGAAATAGGCGCGCTCACGCGAGGATAGTCAGTTATTGGATTTCCTCTGATTGATTTACCTGCTTTGGCAAGAATAGTATATTGCGTTCTTGCCTTGCTAAGGAAATACCACGCGTAATATCTGTATTCAAAGAGCAGCGCGTGTGAGCGCTGTTATCGCGGTCATCGCGCGGAGGCGCTCATTTTGCGGCGCCCTGCGGATAGCTCGCTATAGTCTTGCGAGATACTTCGAGCTATCACAACATAGTCCCTCTATGTTGTGACAACCAGGAGGGGTTTACTACGGGCCCTGGTCCCAACCTTAGAGTAGGGATAATGAAATCGCGTGATATATGTCCGGCTTTGAGTTCGAAACAAATTCGGGTTCTCTCGCAAGACTATCTTTTTAGTTCCGTAGTTTATGTCCCTCAATTTTCTTGCAAGACTTAATCGCAAATGTCTGAGGCTCCTGCCAGAGTGCCGGAGCTATGCCAGCGCTACGCCGCCGCCGAGCTAGGGCCGAGCTAGCGCCGCGGCGAAGTCATTGCAATTTGAAACATCGTCCATTCTGATCTCATTTTCAACCCTAGACACTATTTCCATGTCAGAAGGTGTTTTTTGGAAATAAGCAACATCAACTCAAATTTGGGTGTTCTGAGGAGCTTACCTTGTTTTCAGCTCTACTGACTCGCACTCATACAAAACGCCATAGATTGCCCAATTCATTAAATTTAGAAATCTAATCAATTTAAAAAAGGTAGTGCGTGTTAAAGTGCACCTGTTAAAAGTTTGCATGCAAGAAATGACCCTGCATGGTCGGTCGATCTTAATTATTTCTTATCGCTCAGGCATTCAGAGTTCAAATTGTTTTTTTTTGAGAGGAAATTCGCACTTTGCTAAGCATATACCGTAAAGATGTAGGTCTTAGCAAAATGCGCACTAGCAAGGTGTTTAGCTAGCTGGACGTCGAATAAAAAGTAAGCAAATGTGCCACCATCTTGCACAGAATCAGCTCTCAATTCTGTGATCTAGAAATTCAAATGCAAATTGTTTAGCTAGGTGGTTATCTCAAAGAGGTGGGTATCTGTTGAAAATGTTTGAAAAAAACTCATTGCAAAAGTATGAGCAAGACAAGTGTAAAAGTGCACAGTGCACATAAAAACAAGTGTCATTAGATCTTCGAATGCACCTGCCAAAAGTACGAAGAATTCATTTCAGGTGGAAATCTTGTTTATGAATATGTCAACAAAACTTTCTTGGGAAATTTCATATGAATGTAGGGCTGCGTTGACAACTGCTTGTTGCCGTCGGCCGGACATACAGCACGCAGTTTCATCGCCTCGTGTTTTCCCAACAAGACAACTGTTACGAGCCCATTACATGCCGATCATATTCATTTCGGCTGTGATAGTTAGTCATTAGTAGCGTAGGAAAACTGTCACAACCGAGATGCGAGATGATCAGCTTGCAATGAGTTGATAGTTGTCTTGATGGAACAAAACGAGGCGATCGAGTGATGTATGACCGGCCCTTTATAACACTCAGCGATAGTGAGCACTAGTAGATTGTAAGACAACAAAACGCCATGCGCGTGCATACTGCCGGCATATGGTCAACTATGAAGGCAGCGTTGAAAAGGAACAAGAAACAAACAACAGAATAAAATAAACTCATGCTTTGAAAACCAGGAAAAGTTATGTGTAATGCAATAGGGTATAACAACAAGGCAATAGTCTAGTAGATAATAAATAGTACCTACAAAGGTTTAAAAGGATTTTGATGATATCCTTGACTTTTTGGTGGCAACTTGTGAAGAGAGTTTCCTCAACATTCTCCGATTTATTCAACTAAATCAACCAAATTATCAGGTTATCCCACTAGATTTTCACACTTGACTTTTCAGCGACTCAATTAATTTTTTTAGACTCCTAATCTTATACGGGGTATCATTCGACTTCAAAAATTCGCAACAAGTTGAACCCGCAAAAAGTTCCAAGCCAAATTAGAAAAATTTCCGAATTTGCGAAAAGCGAAAATCATCATATCTCAGTTCAAAACAACTCTGCGAATTTCCCACTTTCTCATGCATATACTGCCTCACCGGATATTTATACATGTGCATGCTGCATTTTTCTGATGGTTAAAAACAAAGAATAAAAATAATGCGCTCAATTGTCAAACTTTGTCTGTATCAGTTCTGTGTTCCCCGCAAAAAAGTGATTGTAAAGCTTATTCATTCAGAATTACTGCCACAAAGTTGCAGCCTACTAGGTGCTTTAGTTCTTGACAAATATCGCATTGAATGTCCGTATATGAAAAGACTTATGGCACAAGCTAATAGTATGATAAGAAATTATGCTTTAATCATTAACACACTGACCGAGAGCCGTGTACTCTTCAGGCTTGGATTACAGCTTGAGCGACAGTGCTGCGCCAACGGCATTCCTTACAGCCCTCACATCTGATGAGTTTTATAGTGAATTGCCGGAAATCAACCCTAACACACCCTCATTTGAGAAATTCTTTCTTCTTCTCAAGCTGCTATGCTCGAGCCGAGAAGTATTGATGAAGTTTGCAGTGGAGAGGGTGATAGAGACAACGACTCCAAGTATCCATATAAGTGGGGCGCCTGCAATACTTAGTTTGTAAAGGCTCCTCTCGTACGTACTCTGAGACGCTTGCTCAAAGGTCGTCTGAACAGGGAACGATACTTGGTAACCCCGGCCATTCATAATGGTCTGCATATCAAAAAATGCGCCTTTTAATGCTGATTCAAATACTGTTTTCCATATCTGCGAAACGAGAACCTGGATGGAGTTATGATTATTTTTTCAAAAATGACTTGCACTGCTGCGGAAGGTGAAAATCATTAATAGAAGTTTTCCTTTGCTATTCAATTGCTGAATATGGTTCAGATAGGTATAAATACAGCGTAACATCTTTCAAGATTCTCCTCAATAGCTTCAAACAATAGAATAGATCAAATTGAGTGAATTTAACTCTCTACGAGTACGCAAATTTTTTACGAAGAAAAGTTCATAACTGCCTTCAAATAATCGCTTCGCAGATTTCGAGCACAGATTTAGAATCAGCGTTTCGAGATGCACCTTATGGTACAAATCGCCTTTCACATGGCCGGGGTAACCAAGTATCGTTCCCTTGTGAGACGATTGCGATTTTGAAAGTGAAGTACTTCTTCAGGATGTAAAAAAAGCAAAACTAAGGCTTTCACCTGGTAGTGCGCTAGTATCCAAGCATTTATCTCGTTCTCTTCGTCGATATCAACTTCTCCAAAATTTGGAAAGCGGGAACTGAAAATCGTTGAAAATAAATGTTTGCTTTGCTAATATATGCACTCATCTTTCCAATGGTACTTTGCAACTGTTCAAGAATGGGAACTGGTTTATTTGAAACTTTCAACACAGCGGAGCAACTTTTTGATTGTCAAGCGTGTGAGATG